ATGTAGATGTATTTTCTTACATCATGAACATCAAGGAGGTTGGGGAAGGGGGGAAATAACTTATTAAGGGTAGTATAATGTATGAAGTTGCTCTGAGAATTTACAGTATGCAGTTCTCTCACAGGACCGTCAGGCAAATGATTGGTCCTGAGAAAGAGGGTTGATTTTTTTTTCTTTCTTTTCTGATATTCCCATAGAATGCTGAGGAATGCAACAAAACCATAATTCAGCTTGAACAATCACAGCAGAACCTCAACTTAGCTATTTTGGAGAAGGAGAGAATACTTTCTGGGATGAATTTTGAAGCAGAAGAATTTGATGAAAAAATCGATCAGTTGCAAGCAAAGAAACGGCAGGTAACGAGTGGTCATTTGTGCAATGCATGTTCCAACTCTCTTTAGGACTAATCTACAGGACAATAACCTTGTATACTCAACTTGGGGTAACTGCTCCATGCTGAGGAAAAATATACTTATTCTTACATGGACTCCCAGTAACGGATTTGGGTACTGGCTAAAGCATCCCACCCAGTTTTTAACTTTTTATTTCTTTACCGTTTAGCAAAATATAATATATCGTGATAATTTGTATTATTGAAACAATAATGCTTAATCAAACACAAATTCTCTGAGCTTACCTAGGTGAGCTATGTGTCTGAACAGACAGGGATTAAAATCAACTACTGTATAGTAATCTACTTGTCCATACAAATCTGCAGGAATATTAGTGTTTAATTTTATTTTGGGGTTTCATTGACAGTTCCCACAATGCAAATTATTTTTCTCTGACCCTGTCTATTAAAAAAAAAGGTTTAACCTTGTATGAAGCCCAGGTTATCTAGATTTTTGCTCATCAGTTGATTCAGTCTCAAGATGCAGCAGAAGGGATTCTTTCCTTCCTGCCTTGACTGCAGCCTTTTGTCTCTAATAACAAATTCAATGTTGCTTTTCTAAGAATCTTGCAGATATTGTGTCCAATCAGACACGCGTGAAGCACATGCAGGCCGTGAAGGAAGGGAAGTACAGCCTACTATGTCGTTCTGAGATAATGGCCCGTGTTGAACATCATAAGGTGGAGGAGAGACTGCATATTCTTAACACCGTTCTCCATCAGATTGAGCAGGAATATCCTTATTATCACAAGGCATTGCGCAGAATTACCCAAGTAATAACTCAGAAACTGGAAGAACTGAGTGCCCAGGAGCAAGCCGAAGGAAAATAGAGCTGGACATTTTCAAAATATAGATGTGAGAATATCAACATTTTCAAAATATAGATGTGAGAATAATCGTGAAAGTTTGTCAGTGGATGGTATACAAGAAAGAGAAAGATGGGGGATGGACAGGGTAGCTGTGTTTTATATTCAAATTTTGCTTTTTCCATTGCACTGTTGTTGTTTTGTCCTAAATAAAAAGACAAAGTTGGATTCCTTATTTTCTTAGTTCTGTTTAATCTAGGGATTCAGCAAACTTTCAATTCTTAATTGTTGGAAGGAATGTTGAAATTTTCCACAGGATAAAGAATCCTTCAGAAGAACATTCAGATTCCGTGAGAGAAAATTATGGCAAAATGTAACTGCAGAGTTTTCCATTTAATTCTTCTCCCAAGGTCTTTTCCTCAACCCCTGCTTCTTAGACAATGCTAAAACAGCTTCTCTGTTCAGTTGATAAGATAAAAGCTCATTTAAGGAAAGTTTACATTCTCAACACATTCCAATCAGCAGTCAACAGGGGTTAAGATTTCCTTTTTCTGGGCAAGGATGTTCATACCTCATGACATTGGAGGATGGGGGGAATATTAAACCTCAATATGGAATAAAAATTCCCCCATTTTCATTTAAACTCCAGGGATCAGCTGAGAAGGTAGCTGTAAATTAGATGTGCATGATGATGTGCCTGTTTGCAGATTAACTTCGGGAGATTTCATTGGAGTTAATTCCATCCTCAGGTCAAAACTATATTTATACTGCTGCTTTAAGACTGATACTTAGATTCACATGTAATTTAAACCATGGATTGTTGGCATAATGGCATCTTTACACATAATCCTAAATTGCAATGAGTAGATATATACATACACAAAGGAAAAAAAACAGATCATAGCTTAATACTCTGTATAAAACCAGAGACGGAGCCCTGAGGCAGGGGTCCCCAACCCTGGGCTGCAGCCCACTACTGGGCCGTGAGCTGTTCGGGACTAGGCTGCGGAAGTGATGGGCGAGCATGTGGGCACCCCCACTTTCACAGGCAGCAGCTGAGCATGTGCGTATGTGCTCCATTTGCACAAGCAATGAGAGTGCTTGCCCCCCATTCACACAAATGGAGCTGCACACGCACGCTTGCCTGCTGCTCACTCAATTACAATTGCATGCAAATGCACTTAACCACAGCTTGCGCAAATGTAGCTGTGCAGACGCTTAACTGCCGCTTGTGCGGAACCATCCCCTCTCCCCACCACCAGTCCGCAAAGCTGGAAAGATTGGGGAACTCTGTCCTAAGGTGACTTTTTTTTTCATTTTAGTCAAGTTAACAAAAACTTGGTGGATAGAGTTATATCTGCTATATTATACCTAGAGATAAGCAATCTGATGCTGTTGCAACTTCATAATTCCTTGCCACTGATTGGAGCTGATTGTACTTAACCCTGAAGGAAGTGGAGGAATACTGTATTAAATCTCAATGTAGATTAAAACACCCTGTACCTGTCTCTCTCTTCTCCCCTTCTCAGCTACCCACCCAGCCCATGCAATGTTATCTTGGCCCTGGAGGCCTTGGCCTGCTCCCTGGCCACTTCTTTCCAACCCACACCTGGGTCCCCTTATCTCTGCATTGTTCTGCAGCTACCGACAGGCACACCCAAGACAATGCAAGGCACAGCTTCCTATGGAGGTTCCATTCTTTACTCAACAACCACAATTGGGAGATCCAAGATTGTGGTCACTGACAGCTTCACTCAATGACCAAGAATCTGATCACAATTGGAAATTAAGTCAACAACTACCTGTAGTCTATCAGATTTTTTTTTACATATTAGTTCTGCAAAATCATTAATTTAAAAAAATGACAGCTTCAATTTCAAAATGTAGCTTATTATTTTAGAGAAAGTTGTGAAACTGGCTTATTTCAGTCAAGCTTTTTCAATCGTAGACATTCCCCCCCCCCCAAAAAAAAGCATCCTTAGGCATAGTCTTTAAACCCTTGATGCAAAATTATACCACAATGAAAACTTGGTGTAAGAACGTGCTCCAATTTGCAGGACTTGTTAAATAGTTACAGAATTTGAATGCAGTTACAGATCTGAAATGAAGGACATTTTAATGGGAAAACATTAAACTTCTTCCATGTATTATGGAACAAGATGGCATGTTTATTGTTGGTGTATTGTTGGCATATTATTCCAGCTCTCATTGCTAAAAAGGACATATTCTATGAAATGTCGGAAATGTAATGACCAGGTGAAATCATACTTTTATATTCAGTGACAATATTGTAAAACTCAAGTTTTGGAAACTGATTTATAGTAGAATGAAACAACTCTTAAAAGCTGATATTCCCTTTTCAACCTACAATACTTTTGTTAACCTTCCTAAACATAAATCCTTTCAAAGTATATTGAATTAGCTTTGTATGTGCTGTTACAATGATATTATATCCTTTTTATGGAAATCTCATTTGATTCTCTCGGAACAATGATGAACTAATTTCTGGAAGTATGCTGGATGTCTGGAATCAGGGCCAGATTTTCCTATAGGCTAACTAGGCTTCAGCCTAGGGCCTCAAGATCAAGAGGGGCCTACATTCAAATTGTTAGCAAAATTAAAATTACACTTTCACTATAGGTGAAAGGGCCTCATAAGTGGAATAGCCTAGGGCCTCTTTTCATTTAATCCGGCCCTGTCTGGAATAAACTTGTATTTTAAAAGTAAATTTGACATAGAATTCAGTTCAAACCTTTCTTAGATTACAACTTAATATGTGCCACACTCAAAATACTTTACTTATAGATTTTATAGTACTTATAGATTTTAGTAATTTGGATTAACTATACTTTATAATCTTATTTGGTGAATTAAATTGTTGATCATGGTTCTTGACAGTCACACTTATCTTAAAATTTAACAGTAAGTTTAAATCTCTTACAATATAGCTATTCAAAACTAACAATATACTGGAGAATCATGTTCATAACATGCTAAAATCCTGCATTTATTCACTTAAGTTTATGTATCTTCTTTAAAATGTTTAAAGCAATGGCCCCATTTGGATTTTAAATCTCTTGTATGTCCCAAGCTTCATTGTTATTTTATCAATAAATCAAATTCCAGAAGCAATTTTAATCAAGCCCACTCATAATCATTCAATGATCTGAATGAATCTCAGGGACAGTTAAATTCATACAATTTTAAGCCAAAATAATACTTTATTTTACATATAACCCATTTTAATAACTACCTGTGTATTCTCCATCTCCAATATTCCAAAATACAAGTGTTCTATATAATGGATGTTTTCATTATTACCACCCAAACCTCCCCTAAACTCTAAAAGAAACACAAGATTTGGAAACAGCTGCGGGGAGGATGTGTCTTTGTTAACTGGGTGATAACCTGAGTACAACTCGTCAAAATCCTCCTTTCTCTATGAAATATACTCCTATCTTCTAAAATGTTTGCACGGGAGAAGCTCTTCCAAGGCGCGCCCTTATATGTCGTCGCCTCATTTAAAGAATTCTTAGTAGAGAAACCCAAGACCGGACCCTTCCAATCGAAGCTCTGTTCTGTGAGCCTGCCATCTCCGGGCAAAAAAAGAATCCGGACGACAACGAGAAAAACCCGGATGGCAGCGAGAGAAAGCAAAAGCCTAAGCCCTTGCTGTCATCTGGTGGATGTCCGGATGTTTGCAGGGAGCCCAGCTCCGGCGAATCCAACCCATTCGGGGAGCCCGCCTAAGAGGGTAAAAAGGCACGAAATCCAGACCGTCCGGAAAGGAGGAGAATTGGTCACGTGACCCGCCGTTCACGTGATCCGGTGGAAACTCTTGTATCTTCCTGCTTCTTTCGCGTTGTGCTGATTGCGGGGCTTTCTGCCTATTAGAGTAAGTGAATATTTACTCTAGAAAAGGGGTGGCCTGTGCACAGATAATGATAATTGTGAATGAGGGGGTGGGGTGAGGCTCGGCGACAAGACTGCTGTGGGATTTACTTTGGCCAGTGTCAACGGGTAGGGAAAAAAACCCCCCTACTGTATATTTTCACACTAATTCGGAGGAATCTGGTAGCACTTCTTCAGGCTAACAAATGTTATGGCAGAAGCTTTCGTCAGATGCAGCTGAGGAAGTCAGCTGTAGCTCACAAAGGCTTCATTATGTCTTTTAATAACATTTGTCAATTTGAAAAGATGCTGTCAGGTTCCTGATTGTTAGCTACTGCAGAAGAATATGGCTCTCCTCTTACACTGGCCACATTTTCACAAATTTATTTATTTGTTTGTTTGTTTGTATCCTGCCTTTATTATTTTCACAAATGGTTCAAGACAGTGAATATATCCAACACACGTTCCTCCTCCTTTATTCCCCACAACAGCAACCCAGTGAGGTGGATTGGGCTGAGAGTGCGTGACTGGTCCAAGATTACCCAGCTGGCTTTTGTGCCTAAAGTGAAACTTGAAGTCACAATCTCCCACTTTCTAGTCTGGTACCTCCAGCCACTGGACCAAATCAGCACTGAGAAACCAAAAAGGTAGTTAGAAATGTATGCTTGGAAAAACAGCACCCTCAGTTGTAATTAATATTGATAGAACATTTTTGTATTCTCATCACTATGTTTTCTAAATAATAAAACAATAATCTCCAATTAATATTTTATAATCACTCTTGAAATAATAGATTGTATCCTGAGTCATAACATAATGATAAGAATATCTCTATAGGCAACATGGGGTCTGTTTTGCCTGTAGGGAAATTCTAACTGTCGTCTTGGTTTCTCTTTTCCAAATAATGCCCATGTTTTCAAGACTGTTGTCAGATTTCCTGACACAGGAAATTTGTTCCTGTAGGAAATCAGTACCTGTAGTTTTACAGGATTGATACAGCATAGAAGGAAAAATGAGCAATAGACCTGTTGCCTTTTGAGCCACATCAGTGGGGTATCATTGTTTTGATGGGATTCAATGTTGAATATAAAAGAGTAACTTTCAGATTTTCTAGGCCTGACATCCATCCATCTGGGACTTCCCAACTTGAATAGAAGGGTTAGGTTCTGAAGAATAGTCAATTTGGACAATGTATCTTAGCACAAGCCAGGAATTAATGTGTCTGATCTGCATTTTCTCTGCAGCTTGAGATGACTGGTCATATACTTCCTGAGGAACAAACTTCTGCTTGTTGAACCACATGAATCACTCCATGGTGATTCAATGCCTGACAGAGGTTGTGGTGGAAGAAGAAGCGCACAACAATGCTGGTGATTTCAACTCTAACATTTGCGATCACTCTGCTTGGACTATCTAGGACCTCAGAGGCAGCCATAGCTGCTTCTAAAAGAGAGAATGATCACTGGGATAAGAATCATGGCAGGATTTCAGATGTACCCCAACAGAAAGTAGAACAACAGTTGGAACCCCTGTTGCTGTCTAAGCAATGCAACATCCCTCCAGACAACCGCTTTGACTGTGCCCCAGAGAAACTTCTCTCTCAAGATGAATGCCAAGCTCGGGGATGTTGTTACGTCCCTGTCTCTTCCAAAGAGCCATGGTGCTTCTTTCCTACCAATTACTCTAGTTACAAAATGACAAACCTAACTGCCACCCAGACTGGCTACACTGCCCATTTGATCCGCAGTGCTCCTTCTTTCATGCCAGATGACATCATGAATGTGCAGCTGGATGTGATCTTTGAAACCAAGGGGAGGCTTCACTTCACGGTGAGTAAGGACTATTGGGGGGGGGGGGGTTGGTTTTTTTTAAAAGGAAGTCCAAGATACTCTGACATTAACCAAAGATGGAAGTTCTTTATAACTCTCCAGCTCCCTGAGATTGTGACATTAAAACTTGGTGGCAAAATGACCACATTGTGATAGAATGAACTTTGTTTTCTTATTTTCTAAGAACAGAAAACCGCAAAAATAAAAAATGGGCACACAAGATCTAAAGGAGATAAATCTTAAAGGACATAAGATTTATTTATTTATTTATTTATTTATTAGTCCAATTTATATACTGCCATTCTCCGTAGACTCAGGGCGGTTTACAATGCATTATAGCAATAGCCTGCATACTTTTATGTATATACCTGCTTATTAGGGCTTTCGGCCCCCACTAAGCGGTGTTGTTCTATACAAAGCTGGCTTATTGCCTCCACAATCCAGATCCTCAATTTACCTACCTTGAAAGAATGGAAGGCTGAGTCAATCTTGAGCCTGGTGAGATTTGAACTTGCACTAATTGCAGGCAGCTGGCAGCTAAGTGCTAGCACTTAACAGCACTTAGTCCGCTGCACCACCGAGGCTCTTCCCAAACCTTTGCCAAAGCCAAAAATTTATTTTAATCCATGTTATGGGGAAGGGGATTAGAGAATGAAAATGGAAGTGGGAAGCTTTTGTGAAGCAAATTGTTCCTGTGCCTTCTCTTAATGCCACCATCCCTCATCATTTTTCAAAGTTGGGCTACTTAACATTAGAGATGGAGCAATTTCCCCTCTCCATTGGGAGCTTCTAACTCCCATTTCCACTCTTAATTTCTCACTGAACCTATATTTTAGGCTTTTTCTTATAATTTTATTATATCATAATAAACTATAGGGAAGAGAACAGGGAAGAAAAGAAGTATAGGCTAAAAGTGGGGGGAAGCATTGACTTCCAACTCTTTTTAGCACAGTAGAATAAAATAATAACATCACAGCATCAACTTTTTATTTTTGCATACTTACTATGTAGTAGTCATTTCTATAACAAAAATGTATCTAATCCACAAAACCCAAAGTCAAACTTTCATTTTTTTCAATCTCAAGCATAAAATCCAGAAATGGTTTCCAAAGAAAAATAGAGTTGGGTGTGTTCTTTCCTTTGATTAGAGCAGTGAATTTAGCCATCTCTACTAGTCCATCAGTTTTTCCAGCCATTCACCCAATGGAAATTTTTCCGTTTTTGTGCATAAAGCGTTCTTGCTACTATCAACATATGTAACAGCAAGGTTCTAGATTTTTTTTCAAGTTCTTTGTCCCTAACCTATCTCTTAGTGACATCAGGATTAAAGCCCATGATCCTCAAATTTTGCTTTTTCCTGCTCTAATCCTAGGATAAATCCCTTTTGAGTTAAATAGAGATGGTAATTGCCAGGCTATGTGCCTTTGGCAATTCTGCCAGGACCAGAATTCACTTTCTTAAGTATCTTAGAATTTAAAAAATATTTTCAAATGCTAACAAGGTGATTAAGTGGCTGGGTACATACATCAGGTTAATGTATTACGTGATTTATTTGGCTTTAACTTAATAGTTTGCAGAAACTCAGTATACTGTATGAAGCATAATTATGGTCTAGCTAGGATTGCTCTACCTAGCCCAGGCTATCACTAGATGGCAGCAAAGAACTGAAGTTTTTGATATTGCTTTGCTGATATTGAGCCAATGACAATATGTGTAAATCCAGCTAATTATGGTTTATTCAATAAATCACAATAATGCATAGCATGGCTTTATGTGATTGGTGACTCTTAGATACATAATTAATTCCTTGCTTTTCTCTGTGATCAAAACACATCCAGCATATGCTAATACTTCAAATACATTATGTAGATATTGTAGATATGTATGATGTAAGTATCTAAATTATTCATTATGTATATATTTTCCGAAATCTAAAAACAGAAATTATAAATGAAAGGCATTGCTACAAATTCAGAAGTGATTGATGCTTATTTCCAAGCAAAATCATATAAGAGTGCAGCCTTGAATTTATTTTATACAGTTTATAAATGGCTCTGCTTATAGACGTCTGTTTTAGAAATAACAGTCAGGTTGCAGGAATATCAAATGTCATATTAGATCAATTGAAAGGTGAGAAATCAATTAGCCAGGCAATAAAAAGCCCTCTTGAACCAAAGAGCTGGATTTCATTGTTACTTCAAACTTCATGCCGACCTCCTTTCTTTCATCTCACAAATGATTTAGAAGTAGAAGCCAAGTCCCTTTGAAACTTGACTGGATTTTTCTGACCACCAATTTTTGGAGTAGCATCACATAGTTTTTGTGTCTCTTCCACTGCAGCTTAAGGATCCAGCTAGGAAACGCTATGAAGTTCCTTTAGAAACCCCCAAGACCATCAGTAAGGAATCCTCGACTCTCTATTCTGTGCAGTTCTCTGCTGATCCCTTTGGCCTCATTGTTTTTCGACAGTCCAATGGCCAAGTTCTGTAAGTAGCTCTGGACTTTGTTCCTCCAAGTATTCCTCCAGTACAGTGTATTTAACTAAGAGAAAATCATCAGTGCTGGGTTTCAACTAGTGTTACCACCGGTTCTTTTCACGCACGTGCTTTGCGTGCGATTGCCATGCGCGTGCTCGCCTCGCTTGCACGTGCGCCAAACTTATGCTCCACGCAAGCACATTAGGTTTCTGCCCAGCTGAGGTGCGGCAATCCACTCTGCGGTGCCTATCAGCTGGGCTAAAAACCAAGAAATAAAGGTAGGAATAAAGCGGGGGCAGGTGGGAGGGCCTACCTCCCAGTCACAGAGAATTGGTTCGGTGACGTCACATTGTCACCACTACTGGCTCGGCTGAACTGGGAGCAACCCACCACTGAAAATCACCCTAATGAAGGTTGAATAGCTGTATGGCAATAATATAGGGAAACCTGAATGTGTGTGTGTGTGTGTATGTGCGAGAGAGAGAGAGAGAGAGAGGGAGGGAGGGAGGGAGAGAGCGAGAGCACTAAATTAGTGTTTCTGTTCTGGATGTTGAAGGACCATTTTCATATTATACTCCAGGGTTTGCCTTCACCTAAAAGGCAAATAGGTATCTGTATCATTTGTGAATTTATATTTTGCATATAAAGCACTGCACCTAATGTAGAATATGTGAAATAGCCTTTAATGACTACATCTCTAACCAGCATTATTGAGGCACTGAGTTGAATTTTATCTTTTCTGACATGCAGTTTCTCTTAACTCCAGATTTCCTTCTTCCGGTCTTTCCCTCAGATACCTTAATCAGGCCAATTCTGGGCTATGTACCAAAAATAGAAAACCGCAAATAGAACCTTTTACAAACAATTTAGAAACCACTCCAGAAATAATCATAAATAGATGAATGTCCACAATCATCCCGAAGGTTTGTTGAAACAAAATAGTTTTATTGAACAATCCTGAACAATAGGAGATAGGAGCATCTCTGGGAACCTCATGTTTCATAATTGAATTTTTTAAAAATGAATTCAGGCATGCAGTAGCATCCTCTTGGATGGGGACACCTACCTAGTTCATCATGCAACCAGTGACTGGGTTAGATTAGATTAGATTAGATTAGATTAGATTACGACTTTGGAAGTAGCTTCCAAGATAGATTGAGATAAATCAAAGAAAAAAGGAACCTTATTTGTAAACTACTGGTGGATGTGTCCACTTTCTCCCAATAGGCTGAATACTACTGTGGCTCCTCTGTTCTATGCTGACCAGTTCCTTCAAATCTCCACTGCTCTGCCATCAAATTTCATCTCTGGATTGGGTGAACATATGACCCCTCTTACTCTGAATGTCAATTGGACCAAAATTACTTTGTGGAATCGGGACGTATCACCTGCGGTAAATGACAGGAGGGTGGCAAGGTTTCCTGAAAAGGCAGGGTCTCTTAAGAATTTAATCAGGATGCTATGCAATCGTCATTTGATCTTAAGCTCGTATGCTCAGTGCTAAGGATCAGATTTAGCATGCACTGATGCACAAATTTCATAGGAATAATTCCAGTATTTTGTGCAAAGTTGACAAAAACTTATAAATAATGATGGGTAAGAAAAACCGCACAAGCATACAGTTACCTGGTGAAATGTGAGTTATATTCAATGGCCATATGATAGTAGGGCCTTTTGAAGAAGAAATAATGACAAATAGAATTAAGTTATGTGGTTTGTCTGGAATTCTGAATAGTGTCACATTGCAAGATTAGGTGACAGATCTCATCTGGGCATTCTACTGTTTAATCGGCTTTAGTCTGCAATTTCGCCTTCCTATGGGAACCTTTGCAGTTCTCTGCAAAGCTTTGGAGAGCTCTGGAGAGCATTCTCAGCATCTCCTTTGCCTGTGAAATCCCACATTCTTGGCAAGAACCATGACAGATATAATCCTGTACTGGAGATTGGCCCTCTCTCTGTAGAAGTCTGGAAACAGAATCAAAAGCTTGCTTGATCCAATTGCTTGATAGACTTTTTAGGTTGTCATTTAATTGGCACTTGAATAAAAAAAATAAATGATGAAAAGGGACCATCATGGAAAAAGTATTTGCTTGTTTGAGACTACCAAAGAGGTGCTAAAGCTCAAGGCATTGCTGAAGTGTTCCTGTCGTCCAATACAGCGTTGACCCTATTACAGTATTATTTCTGTGTTTCTAGCCCTCTGCCAATTTGTATGGTTCACACCCCTTCTATGTGGCTTTAGAAAAGGGTGGCTTGGCCCACGGAGTCTTCTTACTGAACAGCAATGCAATGGGTAGGTATTGTATCACATTCCTAATAGGCCAAGCTTAGACATGATCAAAATAACCTAACAATGATTTGTGTGTGCCAAAGCCATGTGTATTTGAAGGAACTATTTTATGATTTGGAGCAGAGATTCTGATTTTTTAATTTTTATTTGTGAGGTGAGTTGGGCTGAGAGAGAGTGACTGGCCCAAGGTCACCCAGCTGGCTTTCATGGCTAAGGCAGGATTTGATCTCACACCTTCCTGGCTTCTAGCCTGGTCCCTTAACCAGTAAACCAAGGGTCAGCAACCCGTGGCTCTGGAGCCGCATGTGGCTCTTTCATCCCTCTACTGTGGCTGCCGGTCAGCTCCACAATTGATAGGGCTTTCGGTTAGGATAGATAGAGGAAAAAAGGATGCTGCGCTAGGAGGAGACTATAGTGGGGGAACCAGACTTCTGGTCGGCAGAGAAAAAAGGAGACCACGCTAAGAGGAGACTATGGTGAGGGAATCAGACTTCTGGTCAGCTCCAGAATTGAACAGGGGGCTTCCAGTTAGGATCTTTGTGGCTCTTTGAGTATTTAAGGTTGCCTACCCCTGCAGTAAACCACTAGTCTACTAATCAAACTGGTCTACTAATTAAGGTTTGGATCATGTAATTGCTTTTTAGCCTCAGCAATTTAGCTTGTTCTATTAATTGCTATTTTGTGATTACTTACACTGTATAATAGCGTAACCCTGACTATTTATGTTGAGAATTAAGGCCGTTCATGATGCTAATTGCACTAAGACTCCAATCTGACAAATACTATTTAAGTTTCCTTTTCTTTCCTCAATAGTTAAGCACGGGCTGAATGTAAAAGGACAATATTTGTATCTCTTTCTATTAAAGGGAACTGGCTATAATGTGGGCAACAGTCTCATTGTCAGCATAGAGTCAGGAGTAGCCATTAAGCAGCAAACCAAGGCTGGGTGTATGATAATGGAATATGATGGATGTTGTGGGAGTAAAATCTTGCCAGTATCTCTGCAATGTACGGATGGTATGCTGTGTCCTTCAGCATACCATCCGCATACTAGTAGTGTTTCCAAGCCACTGTTTGTCTTGTAGATGTGTTACTGCAGCCCAGTCCAGCTATGACATGGAGAACTACTGGGGGTATCTTGGATTTCTATGTCTTCTTGGGCCCAGATCCAAGCAGTGTGGTGCGCCAGTACATGGATGTTATCGGTAAGCATTTGCACCTTCCCATACGTGAAGCTAGGCAGCGTTTTGAGGACTGGCTTCCTTTCAAGAACTACTACTTCTTCAGTAGTACTAAAGATTGGTACTAAACACTTCTGAAGGCACTGGCCACTTTTGTCATTAATACTGAGGTGTTCTGCCAGAAGAAGATCCTTAGACAAACCGGCTGTTCTAACTTCTGGACTTCTATCAGAGTGTGGTGTGTTGGTGCTGGAACGTCTGAGAGATGGGAGAAATAACAGTATCCTGCTTCAGGTTTCTTTTGCACTAATTAGAAGCCTTACCCAACCTGGAAGTTCTCCCATAATAGCATTTAGGCTTATATACTTCCCCAAGCGCTTTACAGGACTCTTCTGGGAGGTTTACAATGTAGAAGCCTTATTTGTGTATTGCTCCCAACAATCTGGGCAGTAATATGGACTTAAAGCTCCAGGGTTCTTAACAGTGGCCTGCAGAATTCTGGGATTTGAAGTCCACATATCTGGATGGTGCTCAGGAAAGAATAGATCAGTGTTTCTGAACCTTGGCACCTTTAAGATGTATGGACTTCAACTGCCAAGGTTGAGAAACATTGGAATAGTTGAAAATGTATCATTCATGAAGAACTCCCTCCAACAGTTACCATGGTAGAATAGTTTGGGGTAGATAGGATATCTTTTTTTATTTTTAATTTCTGAACTCCCAAAGGCTGGGACAAGAGATTTAAGAAGAGCCTTTGAACAGCCCTTTTGAAGTTTGTTTTTTTAAATGCTTAGCATCTTTAGTTCCCAGAAATTCCCAGCCGATACATTGTACAAAACATAAGCAAGGCATCAGCTCAAGAAAGGCTTCCCTGAAGAAATGATAATCCACAGTTTGATAATAATGTGCTAAATCTATTTTATCTGTCCTTCGTACGTTTTTTTTTTAAAAAATCATTTTATCTTTGAAGAGTCTAAATCACAGGGCCTGCAATGACATTTTTCTCTCTCTTTCTACTCCATATGCCAACTTAATTTACATATTAGAAGCAGCCCTTTATATACCTAAGCTGCAACCCAAAACAGGGTCTTGGATATCAGCATAACCTTTAAAATAGCTATACTAGGTTGGGCTTGTGTTGAAAGGTTCAGATATATTGTGAGTATTTTATTGAAATTCTTTTTCTTATAATAGATTTGGGAATGCCAATGGTTTTGAGAGGCTTTGAATGTTGATTCCTCTCTCTCTCTCTCTCAAAATTCCTCCAGGCTACCCATTCATGCCTCCTTATTGGGCTCTCGGATTCCATCTCTGTCGCTGGGGTTACACTTCCACTACTATTACTCGGGAAGTGGTAAAAAACATGACTGCAGCTCTTTTTCCCCTGGTAGGTGCCTTCTCTGAATTTTATCTGACTATCGCTTCTCTCTGACCCTTGGACTGGTTCATATATTTCCCTGAGCCATAATGTGGTTTATTTTGTAAAGTTCAGAGGTCCTTTTCCGATGCCCAGTCTATTGCTCAGGCAATCTCCTGCATCAGAGATTAAGAAACACGATTGATGCAACAGCAAAATCATTATAAATGAATGGCGATAGGCCCAAGTTCATCTTAATGAATACATAAAGGAGAAGGCAAGTTAAACGATACAGTTCAGCAAATATTTCTACACAAAAGAGAGCCAGTTTAGTCTAGTGGTTAAGGCATCAGGCTAGAAAGCGGGAGGCCATGAATTCTAGTCCTGCCTTAGCCATAAAAGCCAGCTGAGTGACTTTGGGCCATTCACTGTCTCTTAGCCCAACCCACATCACAGGATTGTTGTTATTGGGAAAATAGAAGGAGGAGGAAGGTGTGTTGGATATGTTTGCTATCTTGAGTTATTTGTAATAATAAAGGCAGGGTATAAATAAATAGTTAAAATAAAGCCTACATATTACAATAAAATAAAAAGGGATTCTACCAAAACTTCTGAGTTGGTTTTAGCTTGGTATGTTTTCTGAATTCAGACATCAATTTTTGTAAATGAGGATGAATGGATTGTGTCAACTCAGCTAATTGTAATTTACTTAATAAACCATTATAAAACAGATTATGGGCTAATGTAGTATGGATACCCATAAAGTGCCGAGGTGGTACAGTGGTTAGAATGCAGTACTGCAGGCTACTTCAGCTGACTGCTAGTTTGGCAGTTCCAAATCTCACCGGCTCAAGGTTGACTCAGCCTTCCATCCTTCCAAAGTGGGTAAAATGAAGACCCAGATTGTTGGGGGCAATATGCTGATGCTGTAAACCACTTAGAGAGGGCTGTAAAAGCACTATGAAGCGGTATATAAGTCTTAAGTGCTATTGCTAGTGCTATTGCTACCCAACCTGTGTGAAGTAGTACAGCTTCCATGTCAGTGTAACACTCAAAGAGAATACTTGTTCGTAGAGAAAAGTGAGGTGGGACGCAAATCTGCTCTCATCAGAATCTCATTCTTGGGCTCATAGGACGTACAATGGAATGATCTGGATTATATGGATGCTAAGCGAGACTTCACCTTCAACAAGGATGGTTTCAGGGACATGCCAGACATGGTGAATGATTTCCATCGTAATGGTCGGAGGTATGTCATGATTGTGGTAAGTTAATGAATCCTGAATTCTCCTTTGAGGTGCTTCCATGTAATGGTTCAAAATATTGCTGTATTGAAGTTGGCCTAGATTAGACTTCAGATTCTGATACTGCTGGTCTCTCCCAAAAGAGGTAGATACTGGTAACATTGAACGTAATTCCAGAAATGATACTAATTATAATATCCTGTCTTTGCTTTGTACCATCTCATATGTTGTATGTCCTTGAAAAGTTTGCAAAATCTGCTAGTTTTGTCCCACAGAAGTAGATGATGCAGTTCTATGTCCAGCCCTCCCTAATGCAGGAGCAAGTCTTTTTGAAGGAAAATGCAATCTAGGGCAGTGGTGAAATCCAATTTTTTTTACTACCGATTCTGTGGGCGTGGCTTGGTGGGCATAGTGTGGCTTGGTGGGCATGGCAGGGGAAGGATACTGCAAAATCTCCATTTCCACCCCACTCTGGGGCCAGCCAGAGGTGGTATTTGCTGGTTCTCCGAACTGCTCAAAATTTCCGCTACCGGTTCTCCAGAACCTGTCAGAACCTGCTGGGTTTCACCCCTGATCCAGGGTCTTCCGGTTTAGGAAGGATTCCTAGTTTGGTTGGAGATTCTCTAAGGCAGAATTCCTTGTCATATGTCAGCCTGTATTTGAGAAAGCCCGATCGGTTGCTAGAAGTATTGGAATGTAATTTAATGCATTTAGGGTAATTAGACAAAATCTTGAAAGCTTGTCAGTATTTCAAGCTTATACCTAACACAATCAAGGCAAAGTTGTTTTGAACTGCTTTCTACATTTACAGGACTCAAATATATTTTCTCAGTATTCTTCCCCGTCTCTGAGTCAAACTAATACAGGTGATCCTCAACTTACAACAGTTCGTTTAGTGACTGCTCGAAGTTACAACAGCACTGAAAAAAGTTACAAATGACCATGTCAGAATTCCAGAAAACCCCCGACTCCCAGTAAAGACACTGAAGCAGGCATTTTCCAAAGTTCTCTTTACTAGCAATAGGTAAACTGGCACATCTGAGAAATCCCGAATCTGAAAAACCTGGGCTTTCCTTCAATAATACAAAGCTCCCAAAACCAACCCCTTTCTCCCCTTTCGGTCACATGCTCCAATCACCATCGGTTTCGCCTCGGCCCAGCCAATGACCTCTCCTCCTCCAGATGCTGGCTCACCCTGACCTTGACCGATAGGAAAAAATGCTTTTATGTCTACTAACTCCCCTCTCCTAAATCCCCCCTCCTACTTTCCCACACATGAGGAGGTGGCAGCATTGAAGCTTCCGGCCTAATATGGCTTCCAAGGCTGACAGACCATTTTTCACACTTACAACCATTGCAGCATCCCTATGGTCATGTGATCAAAATTCAGGAGCTTGGTAACTGACTCCTATTGATGACGGTTACAGTGTCCCGGGGTCATGTGATCACCTTTTGCGATCTTCTGACAAGGAAAGTCAGTGAGCAAGCCAGATTCACTTAACAACCGTGTTACTAATTTAACAAATGCAGTGATTCACTTAACAACAGTGGCAAGGAAGGTCGTAAAATGGGGCAAAATTCTCTTAGCAAATGTCTCGCTTAGCAACAGAAATCTTGGGCCCAATTAAAGTTGTAAGTCAAGGACTACCTGTGTTCTGTCACATTTGCAATCTTTTAATAGGTGGAGTCAAATGAATGGAAAAGTTATTTGTGTTCGGGACAATGAAGAAAATAGCTTTGTCAAAGGAGCCTCTACTGAAAATTTGGAAGGGAGACAGACAGGTGATAGTACAATATCAGTGTGGCTTTCTTATGTTTCAGTAAGATTGGGATGGTCCAATTATTTTTTCCTCCCCCAAGGGATTTTGGAGTTCTTGTTAAATTGCAACGGGACTAGGTTTCTGTTTCCAATGGCAGGAATCAACATTGTAGGCTTTTAAAAATAATGGAATAAAGGGTTGGGAAACTGCATTCAGCCCTGAGGCCTCAGATTGCCTATTTCTACTTTTTAGAGTAAAAAGGGAAATTATACAGACTTAGAAAGCACGGAGAACTTTACATGTTCATGTATTTAGACTTTTAGAAAAGCAACAGCGGCACGAATGACTTTCCGTACTTGCGTAACGGGTTGCTCTCTTTATGACCTTTTAATGTTCCATCCATGTTTTGCATTTAGAATGTGATAATCCACAAGCTGTGTGCTGTTGCCCAACTTCAGTAATGGCTGTTCCTCTTCCTCCTAAAATGTCAAGTTTGCTTCTGTTTTTCACCCTGTGAAAATGTCATAATCTGGACTCTCCACGTATAAATAAAGGCATGTTCATTTCCTATGCCTCGTGTGCTTTTTTGACAATCTGTCCCCCAACTCTGAAGTACTGCCAAGGTTTGGAAGAGTGTGGGGTTTGTTCCATTGCTTGAGACAACTGTGTCCTGTGCCCTTCACATTTACATACTCCTCTCAGATCCATTATGGCTAAACAGATGTCTCTCCCTCTGTTTCCTTGCAGGATCCAGGGATCAGCAGCACCAGCCCCCCTGGCACTTATAGGCCCTATGATGATGGCCTGAAACGGGGAGTCTTCATCGTAAATGCAACAGGACAACCTTTGATTGGAAGGGTGAGACTTGCCTGTGCAGAAGCAGTCACTGGGTTCAAATTGGCAGGAGTGACTGGTCAGTCAAAGCCCTGTTCCTGTTTACATGTATGCAGTGAAACACACTGAAAAGTAATGGGCTTCATTTGCACAGTCCGCCCTACCATCTTGAAGCCAGTGACCAGTTCTATGGATACTCCTGCCATGAGCCTTGGTAGAGAAAGGATAAAGCTTCGGTGAGGAAGGTGCCATATGGTGAGATGTAAATCTGTAATCTAGTAGACCATGAAAGAAGAATAGAACAAAGGGAGGTGGGGAATATATTGTTTGTTTCCCTTATCAGCATTTCTCACATATTTCATGTCTTCCGTTGATCTTAAATCATTGAAATCCAGATATGAAGATACACATGTTGAATGCAGCTGCATTTGTAGTTTCACTATTATACAACATCATGAAAGGGCAATGGGTTCAACTTCCAAACAAGTGTATTTTTATTCTGACAATTAGCCTGTTAACTGTTTTATTGCTCCATCTCCAGAGATACACTAAAATGCATAACCGTAGCCTACTCAGAAGGTTTACTGATTTAGACGCATAGCTCTGGTTTTTATTTTCCAGGTTTGGCCAGGGCCCACTGCCTTCCCTGATTTCACCAACCCAGAGACTCACCTGTGGTGGTATGACATGGTCAAGGATTTCCATGACAAAGTGCCCTTTGATGGCATGTGGATAGTGAGTTTCCAATCCTGGGACTTGAATGTTGAACAGTTGGGAGACTTTCTCTTTGGTTGATGATGCTTTTGGTTCTTTAAAATGACTTTCCTGTCTTGGAAGTTCTAAATTAGAAAAATATAACACATGAATCTCCTTCTCTTCCTTTTTCTAGGACATGAATGAGCCATCAAATTTTGTAGATGGTTCCTTGGAAGACTGTCCAAACAACAAGCTTGAGAACCCCCCATATGTACCAGGTAAAAGGGGGAGCAGCTTGTTTGGGGGCGATGCTTCTGGCAAACATGGTCTAGTTCACAGATGTCAAACTCATGGTGTCATGTGACATTTTGTGACATTTTCCCCCTTTGCGGAGCTAGGGTGGGTGTGGCCTGTGTGTGAGGCATCTGGCCCGCAGGCCGCCAGTTTGACACCCCTGGTCTAGTTGGACAACTAAGAAAAAAAGTGAAATCAAATTTGACGGATAGAAAAAGACAAAGTGGGATAAAGTCCACACACGAAATACTTACTATATTCATTTTTTTGAAATTTAAATTTGTTAAAACATGGTTCCAGTTTAGTTCAGTTAAGAGTCATCTTGATAAATATGATAAATAAGATGGAAATCTTTCTTCCCACTCAGTGACTCTTAGGGGTGTGTGTGTGTGTGTGTGTGTGTGTGTGTGTGTGTGTGCGCATGTTTGTGTCTGGCTTTTTATATTGCCTTAAACCATAGTTTATAAGGATGCGGTGGCTCAGTGGCTAAGACGCTGAGCTTGTTGATCGAAAGGTCAGCAGTTCAGCGGTTCAAATCCCTAGTACCAGGTAACAGGGTGAGGTCCCGTTACTTGTCCCAGTTTCTGCCAACCTAGCAGTTTGAAAGCATGTAAAAAAAAATGCAAATAGAAAAATAGGGAACATCTTTGGTGGGAAGGTAACAGCGTTCCATGCGCCTTTGGCGTTTAGTCATGCTGGCCATATGACCATGGAGACGTCTTCGGACAGCGCTGGCTCTTCGGCTTTGAAACGGAGATGAGCACCACCCCCTAGAGTCGGGAATGACTAGCACATATGTGTGAGGTGAACCTTTACCTTTAAACCATAGTTTGTTTTAATTATAATTTAACAAATCAGAGTGTTCTGATTTATATATAATATTAAATCTGAATTATATTTTATAAACTGCAGTGACTGAATTAACACATCTTATCATGATCAAATGAAACAGATTACCTATTGGCTTAGGATACTCTATGAACCAGCCATTGCGGATTTAAGAGGCACTTTAAGTAATTTGATGGACCTGTGATTCAATGCATGCTGGGCTTTTGTTTTTTTTCTTTTTGAGCACAGTACCTAAATAAATATGCAGACAACTAATTGCTTCTAATAAAACAGGACATTGCAAAAATTCTGGCAAATACCTGCCAGGTAGTTGAACAATAAATAGTTGCTAAATAACCTACAGTGATGAAGTTTTGGAGTACAATTTACAAAGATTTAAATAAAATTGAAAGAATATACTTAATAGCATAATTCCTACTGGTTTTCAGTATGGAAAATAAACATTGTTTACTGAAATACATTGTAGACTTATGCATGTGGCTTTTGGAAAACGCAAACATGGATTCTGAACATTCAACAGTTCTTTGGCCTACCTTTGCAAACATTTGAATCTGGATATTTCAGATGACTTGTTGGTTTTTTTCAATGTTTTTAGTTTTGGGGGCACCCAATCAAGAGCTGACTCAAGTCTAGTTGGATTGAGACAGGATCATGGGTGGGTTGCTGGGGGTTCGCAGGGGTTCAGGAGAACCTCTAGCTAACATTCTGTGCAGTTCATAGAACCCCCAAATCCCACTCCTGGCTGGCCCCGCCCACCCCAACTCGCCCCTCCCAGGAGTCCCCACGCAGCCCGTTTTGGATACAGGTAAGTACAGGGCACGTGTGGAGGCTCAGGAAGGGCAAAAAACAGGCCTACCGGAAGTTCAAGAAGGCTGGAAATGGGCGCGTTTCCGGCCTCCACAGGGCCTCTGGAGCCTGGGCTGGCAGTTTTCGCCCTCCCGGAGGCTCGAGAAAAGCCTCTGGAGCCCAGGGAGGGCAAAAATGCCCCCCCCCCCATGGTGCAGGAGACCGACTAGGCGACACCCATCATGGCCTCACCCACCCAGCAATCAGGCAGAGAACCCCTTGCTAAAATTTTTGAAGCCTGGACTAGATGTGGAATAATTTCTTAGTAAACTTAATGAGCTCTGTATGAATCTTCTAGCCTCCTCCCTATAAGACCCAAGACGCAAGTAATCAAGAGGGGATGTCTTTATACCAGGAACACAGGATCCAAAGCTCCCTGTCACATGTAAAAAAACTTCACATCTCGCACAGCTTTGCCTTGCGGCCTCCACAATTTCATTGGCTATATAGTATTTCTCCTCCTACATTTGCAGGTATGCTGGGTGGAACCTTGAAGTCAAAAACCCTCTGTGCCTCTAGTAAGCAGTACCTGTCTTCCCATTATAACTTGCACAGCCTTTATGGGTTGACTGAAACCATTGCAACACATGAGTGAGTATGAAAGGGAAATTCTGCCAGATAGATAATTGTTCCTCTGATCCTGCCCAAGAAATGGAGTTTTATACAAATTAAGGATAATACAGGTAGTCTGTTTAGTGATGGTTCAAAGTTGCAGCGACATTGAAAAAACCGATTTACGACTGGCCCTGACACTTACAACCAATGCAGATTGCCACAATCATGTGATCAAAATTTGGTTGCTTGGCCATCAATATGTATTTACAACAGTTGTAGTGTCCTGGAGTCATGTGATTACCATTTGCGACCTTCCTAGTTGGTTTCCAGCAAGCAAAATCAAGGGGGGAGGGTGTTTAAAGTGGATTCACTTAATGACCGCATGATTCACTTAATAATAGTGATTTGCTTAACAGCCATGGCAAAAAAGATTGTAAAACTGGACGCAACTCACTTAACAAGCCCCTTGCTTAACAACAGAAAGGTTGGTCTCCTTTGTAATCATAAGTTGAGGACTAACTGTAATGCATTTTGGTATGGTGGACAGGAATTAACTATCTCAAGTTGCAAGTAAGCTACTAATTGAAAGGCAATGATTTATTATTGGCAGAATCTATGACTCCAGTGTTTTCAACATTTTCTAAACCTTTTGCAGTTAGCAATAGCATATACCACTTCATAGTGCTTTACAGCGGTAAAGCGCTATGCAGTTTACAGAGTCAGCATATTGCTCCCAACAGTCTGGGTCTTCATTTTATAAACCTCAGAAGGATGGAAGACTGAGTCAATCTTGAGCCGGTCAGGATTGAACTGATGGCAGTCAGCAGAGCCAGCCTGCAATACTGCATTCCAACCACTGCGCCACCATGGCTTAGTTAGAAGTGGGAAAGCTCCAGGTTCCAGATCCATTGAAGTCCTTCGATTACTTCTCTTCTGTTCTCAGTGCTTTGGTGAAAGTGCGAGGGAAGCGTCCGTTTGTGATCTCTCGTTCCACTTTTGCCAGCCATGGACGCTATGCTGGCCATTGGACCGGGGATGTCATAAGCGTTTGGGAGCATCTATACTACAGTATACCAGGTACAAGTATTTTTAGAAACCACTTTGTGAACTTCTCCAAGTTCGTACCTGCCTATTGTGGATATTTTTTTCCCATATTCCTTCGGAATATATCAGAAGAAGATACTATCTGGAAAGATATAATACTCTGGTTCCTCCAGGTTTCTCAGCATCTCTCCTATTGCTTTCTAGAGTTTACCATTCAAGGTCTTTCCTAATCCACACTATCTGTCTTCTTAAAGCAATGCTGCTCTTCAATCTCTATGGAGTGCCATTGGTCGGGGCTGACATCTGTGGATTTCTGAACAGCACGACGGAAGAGCTGTGTGTGCGTTGGACCCAACTGGGCGCATTCTACCCTTTCATGCGAAACCACAATGAACAGGGAAGTAAGGTAAGCATGATGTCTCTGCGTATGCCTGGCCATTGTTTTCATTGGAGAAGGCTGGGACAAAATGGAACAAAGCAGCAGGTTGGCAGGCCATTCTGGGAGTGATCATCTCCCTACACCTAGAGGCACCAGGTTTAGGGAATTTATTTAGAAAGTTTAAATAGGATCTATGGGAAATCAGGTGGTACTGAACCATTTCTTAGAATTTGATTGATCTCTCTTATAACATCAGGTACAAAGACAGGTTGTTAAGGAAAGTCCATGAACTTTTCAACGTTCAAAATTGAAATAGACTTCAATTTATTAGGATTTTTCCTATTAAGCTTGTAGCCAAGGCTAGTTTTCTTACTTCCATTGTAAATCAATGATGATGTAGCCTTTAGATTGAAATCACTGCAAGCAAGCATATAATAAATGATGTTTATGTGTTTGCGATTTTCCCTCTTCTTTCTTAAAACTGAAAATAAATTACAGTCTTCTTTGTATTTGGAGCATACTATAAAATCTAGCTTTATAATAAGAAAAGTTTAAAAAAATGGTATGTTACGTGCATTTATCCAGTCGATGCACCAAAAGTTGATTTAGTGATCCAAGAATATTGGCTGAGAAGCTCTAAGGCAGAATAATATTTGAAAATCAAAGAAATACAAATTTCCATAGGAAGCCATAACGATAGGCTTTATACTTCTTGTGGACAAAAAAAATAAATCTCTCTTTCCACATACCTTCTTAATTGCAGGGCATCATAATTCTGTTTTAGTCAATCCTACATTAACTAGATCACAAAAAAACATAGGATTCATTTCATTTATTCACACTTGCTTATTCAGAAGAAAATCCACCATCTTGCCACATGAACGACTGAATTAGTATGTAGTGTCTAAACTGATCGTGTTCCTGCTGATACAGCACTGCAAGTTCAGTGGCTTTAATACTATCACTACTATGGCACCAAGCTGTGGGATAATGCCATAAGAGATATTCTGTGATCTGGTTTAACACTATATCAAGTTAAGACTTCTTGATGGATATGGAATAAGCATCCCTGGCTGAATCCCAACCTTAAAATAAACCATAAAGTAGAGCCTTCTGGACTGATTTTATATACCATGTTTCCCCAAAGATAAGACCCTGTCTTATACTTTTTTGAACCCCGAAATAAGCACTTGGCCTTATTTTCGGGGAGGTCTTATTATTTTGGGGTGCGTGGAGCAAGACAGGGCTCCTCTTGCCATCTTACCTGATTTCCAGCTCTGAGTTTAAATATTTTTGGAGAGGGCTTATTTTCGGGGAGAGGCTTATTTTAGCGCATGCACTCAAAAGCCTGATTTATTAATATAAATATAAATATTATCAGGAGACGTCTTATTTTCGGGAAAACAGGGTATATTAAACTAGAACCAAGTGAACCAGATGATGGTTATGGTATGAACTAGGCCTTAATGCCTCAATTCTTGTTACTTTATTCTTTTTTTTTAGTGTCATATAAGGAAGAACGTGCTAATAGCAGGTAGAAAAAAGATTCAGTATGAAAAAGAACTTCCTGAATCCCTTCTTAGAAGAAATAGAAGAGATGTCATTTATGCCTCAGGAACCTGGTAACATGATTGCTCTCATTTTTTGCCTTTCTGTTTTGCAGTCTCAGGAGCCATATGCCTTCAGCCTGGAAGCCCAACAAGCCATGAGGAAAGCCTTTTCCCTGCGCTACTCCCTGTTGCCCTATCTTTACACCCTGTTCCACAAGGCCCACTCCACAGGCGAGACAGTAGCCCGTCCTCTTTATTTTGAGTAAGTCAGGGGCTGGCTGTGTTGTGAGGGAGGATATGGCCTGGTGGATCTCAGCTAGCATTTGATTGAAATGCTCTGGAGCAAAAGCTTCTGAATTATTATAAAATAGCCTTCAGCGATGATCTTCCAAGTGAATTTTAAGGTAACTGCCATTATGGTGGGAATTCAACATCAGGTAAGACTTGGAGGAAGTGTGGGATACAAGGCCGAAAGACAATTTCAAAATCTTTTACCTGTCCTCAAATAAGGATGTGGTGGTACTCTTGCTCAGTTCTGGCTGAAGGAAATAGATCTACACGTGGGAGAAAGATCTTTTGTAATGACTTTTTCCCCCCTTGATTGCCAGAGGTTCTTTGAAGTCCTGTGGTCATGTTCTTTTATCATTCTTGCAGATTCCCACAAGACACATATACATGGACCATTGATAGACAGTTCATGTGGGGAGCTGGGCTCCTCATTACTCCTGTGTTAGAAGAAGGGATAAGAAAAATGGCTGGCTATTTTCCTTTGGGGTCATGGTATGACATCACCACGGTGAGTGTGGGTTTTGGCATTCACAGAGGCTCAGATGGAATGTCTGTGACACTTTGCCTTAAGCAGCCATTAAACTTTACATACATGGCTGCAATTGATCTATTTATTCCTGTTTTGTCATCTTGTGCCTGCTCTTCTGCTAAGAGAAGTTGTTCTGGATACTCTTCTATAGTGTCAGCCCTATAGGTTAGGCAAGGCTAAAAAAAAAACAATCCCATATGGGCCTAAAACTTCTTTAATTAGAACAGCCACAGTAGCAGAATTTTGTAAGTTTGAATGTGCTCACTGCTTGAGATTTCTGTCAATTTAGTTTTTTGGAATGGATGCAAGCCTCCCTTGTCTGATTCTTGCTTTGGTAGCACAAGCCCTGTCTTACATGACTTTTATATCTGTGGGCCTTCAGGGGTCTGTCATCCACAGCAAGGGACAGTGGATTCTTCTACCAGCTCCACTTGACACGATCAATGTCCATATCCATGGAGGTCACATTCTTCCTTTGCAGGTGGGTCTAATATACCAGTTCTTCTCCTGCCACTTTGCCGGAAAATAAGAGAATGGCAGCCCAATATTGCTGCAAGATTCTCTGGATAGAATGTTTTGTTTTGGTTTTTTTTTTTTTTAAAAAAAAAGATTTGCTTGGGACGTGAGGAGGAGGGGAGGGAATGTACTGAGGTAAAGAAGGCTTTTAGGCCTTTCTGCTTTGATAGAGCTTCTTTCTCTACTGCAAATCTCTTCAGGAACCTGCTCTCACAACCACAGAGTCGCGCTCAAATGGAATGACTCTCATCGTGGCTTTGACACTGGATGGGGTGGCCAGAGGGGATTTGTTCTGGGATGATGGTGAAGGGCTGCTGACCTTTGAGAAGGGTGATTACACACAGATCTTCTTTCTGGCAAGAAATGTGAGTCTGGAAGTAACACATCTGATCTCGGTAGCTAAACTACGCTAGCCAGAGCATATTAAATTTTAACCAGTTATTCCATATTTTGGATTACTTCAAGTACATATAGTTCTCAACTTATAACCATTTGTTTAGTGATCAAAGTTATAATGGCCCTGAAAAATGTGATTTATGACAGTTTTTCATACAATTGTTGCAGCATCCCCCATGGTCATGTGATCAAAATTTTGGACACTTGACAACTGGCGTGTATTTATGACAGTTGTTAGTGTCCCTGGGTCATTTGATCACCTTTTACAATCTTCTGACAAGCAAAGTCAACAGAGAAGCCAGATTCACTTAACAACCCTGTTACTTACTTAACAACTACGGTCATTCATTTAAATGTGGCAAGGAAAGTCATAAAATGGGGGCGAAGCTCACTTAACAACTGTCTTGCTTTGCAATGGAAATTTTGGTCTCAATTGTGGTCATAAGTACCTTGTTTCCTTTCCTTTCATATCTGTGTAATAGTGTCATAGCAGGGCAGTAGATGAGATGGCGAGGCACAATATGCTGAAAACCCCTGTAGACATTCTAAGTCCATTTGAATACAAGAATTGCTTTCTCACTGGCCAAGTTGCTTTTCATTGGTGCCCTTCTACAGCTGAGTTATGACCCCAATAATAGCAGGGATCTGCCATTTTTTGTGGCCAAGGGCCACACTTGAATTTTGGCAGGTGTACTCTTGGCCACACTGAAAAAAGTAGGAAAGTCAGGGGTGCCTGAGCTTTGGGTATTAAATACTTTATATTAAGTGCAAGTGAAAAGATTTCCAGTAGTTGATGTTCACTTCAGAAAAGGCTCTTAGGACTTCCATGGGTTTGTCTATTTATTTATTTAAGAAAATTTATATTGCCACCCACCTCACTCTTGGTGATTCCGGATGACTTACAAAGATAAACCCTGATAATAATAAAAACAGTAACACCCCCTGACAACAACAAACATATGAGCCACTTGATGAGGTCCATATCACTCTGAGATCCCCAGGCCCACTGGCAGGGCCATATCTTCAGGATCTTGTGGAAGAGTGTCAAAGTGAGGGCCAATCTTATCGATGCAGGGATGATGTTCTACAAGGGTGGAGGGTTGCAGGTTGTACTTTAAAGGGCAGACTGATCAGTTATGGTGAGATTGGATAGGAAGGCGCAGTGGGCAGAATCAGTTGTCTTCAAGGATAGACTGATTAGCACATAGACAGCACCTTAATAACCTTAATAAATGTGCCTTCTTGTAGCAATGTTATCCAAAACATGAAAATAAAGCTGAGAGTGGTGTAAATCCTCACACATTATTTCTTAGCTAGATGTTTCTTTCTAAAGATCATTCTTAACCAGGCACCCTGTAAACATGCAGCCCTATATCTCCAGTGACTATTTGGTAAAAGCTGTTTCTGCAGCTGTCAGGGTTCCAGGTAACACCCCCAACGAAATCAAACTCCAAGGCTTGAAGTTCCTCAAAGCTAACTTTTATTAGAGATGTCATATTGGCACATCTGGGAAAACCCGAATCTGACAGCTTCCGGGATTTCCACACCAAAAAGAAAGTTCAGGACCTTGCCCCTCTCCCACATGTCCACCCCACATCCAATCAGGTACCGTCTGGAACAGAAGATACCTCCTCATTCTTCTCAGCACAGCTGCAGAGCCCCATGGCCTTGACTTTCTATAAAGAATTTTATTGTGACTACATATCTTCTTCCCTCTATGCAACACCCCCTCCCAATTTCCCACAGTAGGATTTGTGGCAGGCCTGAAGCCTGAAGGCACAAAGGTAGAAAGATGGCTTCCAGGCCTGACAGCAGCTGCTGTGCAGTTCTAGGAAAAGGGACACGTTTACAAGGTTGTAGACAGGTGCTCCTTGGCCACTTTTTCACCCTACTTGAAGTATATACTATTGGTTGTTAATAATCGAACCTTTTCTTACTCTTATATTTCAGTCCTGTCAGTTTTTTTAAAAATTCCTCTTCCCTTGTCCTGATCCTTTGAGGATCAAGCTGCTTGCTGCTTATAAGTGTTTTACTTGCACTGCCAATTATATAGAAAAAAAGAAAAACCAAGAGAAAGACCTCGTGGGATCTCACTACCTTGCCATGTCACATCAAATCTGGAAGTTGTATTTGGCTGCACTACAGCAGGACGACATGACAAGGCAGAAAAAAAAAATCATGCAGCAATACTTCCAAAAATAGATAATGCTCAAAAAAAATCTAGATATTATTTAATATGCATCTAAGTATCATGACTCCCATCAAATTTGCATCGTGGTTCCACCCGCTGTGTCCCTTGCCCTCTCCAAAAGTTTGATCCCTGACCTCTGAAGGTTGCCTATTGCTGTACTACTTGCATCAACTTCTCCTTTTCTTCTTGTTGCAGGATGTGCTAGTGAATGAGATTGTGCGACTCAGCAGCCACATAGATGGGCTCCTTCTGAAACAGGTGCTAGTGTTAGGTGTCCCCAGCCCTCCCCAGCGGGTCCTGGCAAATGATACCCCCATCTTGGATTTTTCTTACCGTACCGACACCAAGGTAAGCATGTCCCTTGCACTGCAGATTTCTGCATGGGAACCCAGTCCCAACAATTGTGGATTCTTTCATCAATATAATTTATTGTTTTCAAAACATTCTTACTGTATTTTTTGGAGTATAAGATGCTCTGGACAATAAGACACACCTATCTTTTTTGGTGAGGAAAACAAGAAAAAGAAATCTGCCTCTGCCTCCCAGCAATTTTGCCTCATTGCAGCAAACAGCAAATAGCCTGCTTTACTTTCATTTTCGTTTTCAGCATAGCTTGATTAGCACAAGAAAAAACAAATCTGCTCCCAGCAATTTACCTCCTTGCAGCAAGCAGCAGAGGCCAGTGCAAAACAGCTGAGAGCAAAACAGCTGAGAATCGGGAGGCCGATCCAATCAACTTGTGCTAATTAGGCTGTGCTGAAGCTGAAATGAGCTGTTTCTTCTTGCTGCTTGCTGCAAGGGGGTAAACTGTTGGGATGTAGAGGCCAAAGGGTGGGTCCAGTAGGTGGGTGGGGCTACATTCGGTGTATAAGACGCACCTAAATTTTCACCCCCTTTTAGGGGGGGGGAAGCGTCTTATACTCTGAAAAATACGGTAATTGTTTTAATTGTTTTTATGGTTTTTGGACTTGTAACCTGCCCAGAGTCATTGATTGAGCTAGGCAGCTGCAGAAATTGAATACATAAATAAAAAAATAACAACTTGCAGTGGTATCTTGCAAAGATTTTAGAGACAAAAATGGATTTGGAGACGATAGTTACGAATCTTCCTAGGATTCTCAAAACTAATTCCACTGTTGAAACAAGAGGTGGGAAACTCACCCACGGAAAGCAAGCCTCCTCCCGCTTTAGTGAAACTCCCAAAACTCTTTCCTTCTGTGACACTGAAGTAGCAAACTGCCTGGCTATTTATTGGTGACCATCTGCTTGCAAACTGAGTGTATTTCAAAGTTAAAAAACAAAGGTTGACAAATATTCTAGCTACCTTTCAAAACCTGATGGGGAACTTCATATAAAGTTAAACTTGACATTTCTTGAATTGGTTTATCTTCTCAATGCTTTTTCTTCCATTAAAATGTTCTATTCGATAATAAATTAGTTTTTTCTTCTATTAAAACGTTCTACTCGATAATAAAATAGGTTGAGTGTGTTTGGAGATACCTAGGAAAAAATGTGGTTTGGAGCAATTGAAAATAAAGGAAAATCTTCTCCTTCCAAGTCCCCTAGAACAGGGGTCCCCAACCAGCACCGGGCCGCAGCATAGCATCAACCGGGCCACACAAACAAGCGAAGCCCCATCTGTAGGATGCAGGCAGCATGCAAACTCACACCCCCTCTGGTCCACGGAAAAACGTTTCTCCATGGAACGGGTCCCTGGTGCCCAAGAAAGTGGGGACCGCTGCCCTGGAAAACACTGCTACAGCCAGAATGTATATATTTATTTTGCATTTTATTATTTTTTTAGCTTGATTTCCCCCCCTTTCTTGCTGCATAAGGCTGAATATAGCCCTCAGCCACAGTAATGGCTGCCCTGCCCAGCATTAATGCAGCATCTTTTCTGTACCTCCCACCCAGCTAGCAACAGGCCAATACAGGTAGTCCTTGACTTACATGCATTCGTTTAGTGACCATTCAAAGATACAACAGCACTGAAAAAAGTGACTTATTGAATCTTTTTCACACAACAATTGCAGCATCCTCATTGGTCACATGATCACAATTCGGACACTTGGCAACTGACTCATTTTTGTGAGGGTTGCGGGGTCATGTGATCACCCTTTGCAATTTTCTGACAAGCAAAATCAATGGGGAAAGCCAGATTCACTTAACAGCAGTGTTACTGAGTTAACAGCTGTAGTGATCCACTTAACAACTGTGGCAAGAAAGATCATAAAATGGATCAAAACTCACTTAACAATTGTCTTGCTTAACGGCAGAAATTTTGGGCTCATTTGTGATTCTTAGTCGAGGACTGCCTGTGTTTTAATGATATAAAGTGTAGATGAAGAGAGTTTGCACACCTCCTTTTTATTCATCAATTTGGATATGTATTTTTGTTTAGTTTTGTAAGGTAATTACTGTCACTAGATGATTTTCTTAAGTGCTAAGCAATAACTTCCATTAATTGCTGAGGACACATTTAATGCAGAAATTTTGCAGAATTCACATGGGAGGAGCTTGTGTGTGGTTTGTGATACCCCAATTGCAGTTCAGTGCAGATAAGAACATTGGTGTATTGAAGAAGCACCAGTGCACCATCTAAAGCAGGGGTCTCCAACCTTGGCAACTTTAAGACCTGTGGACTTCAACTCCCAGAATTCCTCAGCCAGCAAAGCAGAGCTGGCTGAGGAATTCTGGGAGTTGAAGTCCACAGGTTTTAAAATTGCCAAGATTGGAGACCCCTGATCTAAAGCTCCATTCTCTCCTCTGCTTTTTTGGGCCATTCATAGCCGCATAAGTTATATTACTGCATAATATTTCTCACATTGATGACAGGATACTGTTTTGAGCAACTGTAGCTAACTTCCCTTGTCACTTCTCCAGGTCCTTACTATTCCACTCTCTTTGCTGATGGGGAAGGAATTTGTCATCACTTGGTCCTGAAAAGAAAAAAAAAAGATGGACAGACAATCTGAATGCAAGATAAACTTCTCTAAAATGTAAATGGAAAAAAATTATTTAACGAACAAGATCCTTTGCTGTGGTGTTCTAGTAGAATCAGTAGGGCCTGCAGGAGATCTCCTGTGCTCTTTATCCAAGTTCAATATGTAACAATATTTGGGTTGGGTTGGATGCTACCAGCTTTCATGACTAGATTCACTAATGGTTTGAATGATCACATTTTCCAAATGTCACCTTCCCCTCTTAGAGAAGAATAAATAATTTCTGTTAGGAATGTTATAATATTTCCTGGAATTGCACAAGGAGTTGGAGTAGAGTAGCTGATCTTCAAGTGCCATTGGTTATGTTCTGTAATTTTATAAAATTAGGGATCAGTGTAGAAAAAATGAAAGTGCCAAATATCCTAACCAATGTACTGATTACATGCTACTGCATTAAGACAATAATTTGACAAACATGTCTATGTGCTAATGCTTTATACATTTATATAAAACCATTTGAAATAGGTCCTTGATCCAGACATTTTGATCAAAGTTTTCCTCAGTGTCAGATAGATGTTCTCACAATAGCCTCAGGGGAGAATGCTTAAGCAGTTCTTTCTCTTGACAATCGATTGTTTCCCAGTTGCAATCTTTTGTTGAGGGAATAGTTTAGTTCTCCATCAGAAAAATGAGTTGTTCCAAAACCAGGCCTCTTTGAAACCTCTTCTCTATTCAAATTAGACAAATTATTGACTTGCCTGAATAGAGAAATCCAGGAATAAAATAGCTTCCTTTTTTTTAAAAAAAAATTGTTTGATTCCTTGCTGGCCCATCCTTTTCTTTCACTTCCAAAGACCTACCTTCTTACTTTCTATACATTTTTAAGCACTGAATCCAGAAATATTCATCTCCTGGAAATCTTCATTGTTCCAAATGAAGTTGGTGTGCTCCCTATACTATATTCATCTGCATAGTTGAGAGTTGCTTCCTGTTTGAAATCATGCAAGGATATCTAATGTAGGAGTTAGACAAAATGTTCTATAGAATTGTGTTAAAATAATATAACATGAGATCAGGGGTGGATTCTACTTACCTTTACTACCGGTTCGCTACGGGACCGCGTGCGCGCATACGCAGAAGCTTCTGCGCATGCACAGATCATCCATGATGATGTCCAGGCAGGTGAGCGGAGCTTCCTGCCGCTTTTACTACTGGTTAGCAAGAACTGGACCGAACCAGGAGCAACCCACCACTGCTTGGGATGCCATATAGTCTTACAAAGATTTACAGTGCGGCATTTTTTTCAGATGGTTATATTAAGAAAAAATAACTTAAAGTTCATTGGTTGGACAATTTGTTATGTTTTATATATTTGTTTTAAAGCAAGCAATGTGCTTTTGGCACTGATTAAAAGAGTTTGTGTGCTCCAGGAACAGTTCCTAATTTCTCAGTTGGAACATGGAATAGGAAAATCAAGGAAAAGTTGAAATTGTCAAAATGGATATGATGTATGCTATTTTGGATGTCCTAGGAATGAGGGAATGTTTATGAACCAGAATGGGCCAATTTAATTCAGGCAATTAGATGTTTTGTGGTTCACCCATAAAATGGACCTGCCATGATACCTAAAAAGGACATATTTAAGTATCTGCTCAGCTACAATAAAATAAGAGACAAAATCATATCAAAATTAATGGCTATCAAGTAAATATCAATGACAGATAACAGTGGAATCAAATAGATTACAAATCAGGAAACAGAAGATGGAGAAGCACAATCCAACTGCCTATGAGTTTCCAGATTTGTATTTTAGAACATACCATGAATTGCTGGTTTCAAATATTCAGGTAAAACATAGAACATTATAGAGAAAAGTATGTCAAAAAATAGGCTATGGAGAATATACATTGATCTTATAGTCTGACTGTAACAGCTTCCGTGTGTCTAATTTGTATGAGAAAGAACATGAATTGCTATGAGAAGAGCCAAGAGACATTGCAATAACTGAATAGATATTGAATAACTGAACCAAAAAAAAAATCCCAAGATTTCAAAGAGAAAAAAACAACAACTCTAGTGGCTTTCAGAACAATCAATTGTTATAGCCAGGCAAAAAACAAAGGATGAAACAGTTGGGCAGCTAAAAGAATGTAATAGTGACTGAAGACAGACTTCCAAAGTCAAGCAAGAAAGAATTAAAGGTATTTTTTTCAAGAATGTCAACCGAAGAATAAATATAAAAAGAAAATGTAAAAAGAAGAGTACTTACAGAGTATGTTGGTTGCATTGGGGGAATGTGCCAGGTTTTTATGTTTTGGAGTTACTGGTTTTATTGTTTCTTGTTTTTATTATGTATATGTTGCTTTATTCTTGAGTGGAAGCTGCCCAGTTAGCAAGCTATGAAAAAGTTTTAAATAAATAAATAAGAAACATTACAACTACAGTGAAAATTCTTAAGGGTAATCATGAAAGAGGCCTAAATGGTGCAAAGGATACGGAGTAAAAAGATTTTTACAAACTGGATTAAAGGATGATGGAAACATTTATAAAGAGATTTAGGAACTTACTCTAAAAACTGACATCTCGGACAAGAAATCAACTGTTCGGTAACAAAACACCTGATGAATTGCCCCGTTGCACTTCTTAAAACATCAGGAGAAGTCAAATCAAAGATAAGACCAGGTGCACTTTGAAAATATTTAGAAAAAATGTTTCATACCTTAAATAGACCCCAACGTGTTTTCGTTATTAATTCATCAAAATAGCCTGTTGTTTTTCAGGCTTCTACTGAAATCTGAAAAGAGTTGTGGCTACTGTAAGAGATGGGCTAAATTTAATAAATTCAAAGCACAGGCAGCACTACTTAATAGAAAGAATAGAATAGAATAGAATAGAATAGAATAGAATAGAATAGAATAAGAATAGAATAGAATAGAATAGAATAGAATAGAATAGAATAGAATAGAATTCTTTATTGGCCAAGTGTGATTGGATACACAAGGAATTTGTCTTGGTGCATATGCTCTCAGTGTACATAAAATAAAAGATACATTCATCAAGAGTCATAAGGTACAACACTTAATGATAGTCATAGGGTACAAATAAGCAATCAAATCATATTAGGAAACACTCTCTGGTCTGTGGAAAGGTCTGTGTTTATAAATACAGAATGAAGCTGTGTGTTAGAGGTGAAGACTGGCATTCCTTCCTTCTAGGGAAGGAGAGATGTAGGAGAATGTCCAAATTACTAGAACTACACTGATTTCTTATCCAAGGAAAGCCTTGTTTAAAGGCTGACAAGGGAGAATACAGAATGGAAAGAAAAATGCTAAATGAACAGGCACGTTTCAGAAAAGGCAGAGGGACATGACATCTAACAAAAATGGATAATGGAGATAGAATGAGTATAAGAAGATTTACCTTTGCTACATTGACTACAATAAAGGTCAACCTCTGTACTGACCAGAAGATGTTAGAATGTGAAATACATCGCTAATGGGAATGCCAGAACACTAGCTTGTTTTGAAGGACGTGAATTGAAGAATCTCTTAGGAATTGAGCCTGAAGAAAGGGAGTGGTTCAGAATAGAGAAGGGAGTGAGTCAACATACAATTTGTCTCTTAATTGCTTAACTCAGCATGCTGGCTGGGGAATTCTAGGAGTTGAATGTCTATGGAGATTCTCAGTCATCCAGGTCATGGTTGTCCCAAAAATGCTTTTTCAAGAGGCAGCTGGACTTCCTGTTTTTTCTGTGAAGACATTTCACTTCTCATCCAAGAAGCTTCTTCAAAGGCTTCTTCTCATCCAAGAAGCTTCTTCAAAGCTTCTTCAAAGAAGCTGCTTGGATGAGAAGTGAAACGTCTTCAAAGAAAAACCAGAAAGTTCAGTTGCCTCTTGAAAAAACACTTTTGGGACGTCTAGGAGTTGAAATTCACACATCTAAGAAACACTGGTTTAATGTATGCAGCAAATCTCAGGATTGAAAATGACAGCAGGAGTTAAGTGTACAATGTTTTAACCATCAGTTTTGTTCCAAAGTCGTTATTATTGTAAAAGATACTATCCTGTCCCCCTAGCAAATAGAAAAATCATACAACTTACCTATTACATTATTGCTGAAAGTATAATACGCTACCTGCCTGCACGGAATAAATTAAGCCAGGACTTGGCCCTAGGATCTCTTTTTAATTCTACGATTCATTAAATCTGGATTGCTAGAAATTCTTTTTTTCTGATCTGGAATTGAAGACAAGCATTTCAGAACTAGGCGTTGTGGAACACCATTGTACTTCAGTGTTCAGGAGAAGTTCATAGTTAAGCATGAACGTTTCGCCCTGGATTCTTTGAGACTATTTTTAGTACATTGTTAAAAAAGGAACTGTTCTGTCAGTTCCTCTCCCAAGCTTTGGAATCGCACCTCTTAGGGGTTTTTTTCCCCTTGCCTGTCTGCAATTATGGGTTTTCCAGTAATGTAACTTGATGCGCCTTTTCCTACCAACCCAGGTGAGGCCTCTCTGACTGGCTCTGCAAGTCTCACGAACAGCTTCTTCCGCTTGAATAACTGGAGTAGCTGTCACCAAAGCAAGTAACATTTCGTCACACAAAATTCCGGTCTGTTACTGACATAGAGGGCCACAGTCATGTGAAAAACGGTTATCAAACACTTTTTTCAATACCGTTGTAACTTCGAATGCTCACTAAACAAATGCTTCGAATGCTCACTAGATTAACAGTCAAGGACTACCTGTACTAAATCAGAAGACCTAATTCTGACATCTAAGACATTTCTGACACATCCTGCAACTTTGCTGTTGGAGAACCCTGCTGTTCAACTCAGAAGCTTGAACAGGTTGCTTTATGGTATGCTTGTGAAAGCAGATTGAGGGACCCGTGTGTTCATTTCAACCATACCCTTGGTCGTCCCACAAAGAAAAGCGTTTTTCAGCTTTATGATCTCTTCCATAAAGTTCAAATTCATCCTTGAAAGTCATCAGAATGACTTTCAAGGTCATTTCAAGTAAGTTCCTTCAGTCTGTGCATGTTCATTTGATGTTGGGTGAAGTACCACATGTCTTTCTCAGGATATGAATGAATGCATGAACTTAATAAGGCTCATGGTGGCTATTTCTCTGCTTATTAAAAAGTATAGAAATATCCATCACAATCCTTATAATTTAAGATGTCACTTAAAATTATATTTTATATTAAAATCTCCTTTCGTTTTCTTCTGTTCTTGCTGCAGAGGCTTGTATTTTCCTACGTATGCTAAGATGCAAAGATTTTAAGTACCAGCCCAGAGGATGTGATGCATTTTATACACTCTTCTGGCTGTCCTGCACACAGCAACAAGCTGCTAAGGTCAAGACTAACTTCCCAAACCTGGACTTCAACACTTAGAAATTCAACACTGTTCCACATGCCAAATAGTTGCAGTTAAGGTTATTTTGCAATTGTTATCTTGGTTATGAAATTAAGCTGACGTTACTAGGAAGCGTTTCAGAAGTAAGAATAAGAATCAGAGGTGATGCATAGACTTTCTCCAAGATTTGGCTGCCCAAAAGTATTAAACTAATTAATGGAAACTCAACTTCTCTGTGGATAAGGGTGAAATTTCAGAGGAAGGAAGAATTAACCATCCTATCTTTCTTCCTTAAACTTCCATTAAAAAGTTTTCTGCATATTTTTCCATTGATAAGCAAAAAAAAAAAGTTTATTCACTGCCTTCCTAACAGATTAGAAAGATGAAACAAATTTAGGGTGATTGCAGGCCTTTCTCTAGATATCCTAAATGTCTGCAAAATCCAATACATTTAAGAAAAACTGGTCTCTTTTTATATTCTCTAGGCTAGGGGAGCTTATAACTATTTCCTTTGAGGGAGACATTTTGACAAAAAGACAAGTAGTGGATTCATTTACTTATTTAATTAGTTTGCAGTTTGTCATCTGACACCGAGATCAGGGGTGGGTTCTACTTACCTTTACTACCGGTTTGCATCGCACCAGCGCACACTCTTCTGCGCATGCGCAGATCAATTTTGATGACATTCAGGTCAGTGGGCGGAGCCTCCTGCCGGTTTTACTACCGGTTCGTGTGAACCGGTCCGAACCGGGAGCAACCCACCACTGACCGAGATGTATGGATTTTCAGTTTCAATTTTTGTCATCATGAACATTATATTTAACAGCCAGTAATCCATGAACAGATTTAAGTCTTTGCAGGCCTAACTAACCAGATAGATACCCAACTTTTTAATGTTTTTAATCTGTTTATACATCAGCATATTTTTATGCGATTTAAGTTTTGATTGAGAGCCGCCCAGAGTTGGTTATAAGATGGGTGGCTATATAAATATTTTAAATAATTAACTATGACCATTGCCATTGCATAAAACTATATGAAGAAATACTTCCTTTTTTGCCTACAGTCTCTGTATCATAAGCAACAGTCTGTGGTATACATTTGCACACCAAGGTAAGAAATCTAGTTTTCTATTGCTCTTTTCTTCAAAAGCTTAAGTAAAATTTACAGCACAATACTTTTCATGTCCAGTCACTGAACTTAATGGCTAGTAAGAATGCCTTAAATAAGTGTTGTTTTATTACTATACACAGTCAATCATTTCCATACTTTTAAGATAAAAATAATCAAACTGATGTCTTCAAGGTGCTTCAGACGACGATACTCCTAAGTATTGAAGCCCGGAGATGATAGGAGTTGTAATTAAACTCAAGAGGAAGGCACAGTTTGGGAAGCATTGCTGTAAGCTACAACAAACAACGGAATGCTATGTCTTAGTAGAACTAACAATTTTTTTATTTCATCCAAGTCTAAATAAATAACTTATTTTTGATTTGGGAAAGAGTTCCCCTTGTTTCTGAAATGCATATTTCTGTTTCACTTGGTTAGCAGTATTTTAATCTGTTAACGTTAGAATACACTACCATTCTATTTCTATTGATTTAAATATAGGGTTTATTATCCATAATATTTACTGTTGTGCTTGCTGTATTTCTATAAGAATGAAATTGTAATTAGTCCCTTCCCTTCCCAACCCTCAAGATAATTCTCAGGACATTCTGATTTTAACTTTCAATCAAACTAAACTCCAAGCTGTGCTAAGAAGCAAAAAATGTTTGCACATGTTGCAAATAAACTTACAAGATGTCTGAACCATGGATTTCAACATGTTATTTTCATGGAAGCATCCTACTCAGAGTTTTTGGCCATTGTGATCATTGTTAAATAGAAATCTCTGTGCTTGCTATTCCATCCACAGATAAGAAAGCAGTGGCTATCTTTATGTGTTGCTACGAGAATTGAGTCACCATGGCATTAATCTTTGAACTTTGGTTGTGTGATTATTTTTCTCTGTGGCTAACACCAAGAGAGGACTGGTTATCTCCCAAGCCAAAGAGATCTTTGGATGTTACAATAAAGGTGTATATTTCTGCTGCACATTTGCCTTGGTCCTGAGCCAAAAGGAAGAACTTGTATTGGATAAAGAAAATCTCCCAGGCAGGCAGAACTAGCCCTCCCGAAAAACCAGTTTGTCAGCTGCTCCTCAAAAATCAGTTTCCCTCTAAGACATGCTGTGACAACATGCCCACAACAACTTTTAACTCTGTTGATCAACAGGAACAGGTAAGACGAGCGAGGGGGGGGGTCTCTGGTTTTGCTTTCAGCTTGACCGGCCAGCGGGAAGACTGGCCTGAAGGAGGAGGAAAGGGCTCCTAGGTCTTTAGTGAGAGGATTTGTAACTCGGTTATTTGAAATTGAGCCCAAGGGCAAAGTAAGGATGAAGCAGTAGTTTGTTCAGGGTTTCGAAGTACTGAGCCAGAACAATAGTCTCCTCTGATTCCATTCAGGTAACTGACCAGAAGCAAGACTTTAATAGGGATGTCTAGAAAACCTGGGTGGTCATTCGTACAATGTTGAGTTAGGACTGAATGATCCTAGTTTAAATCTCCACTCATACAAACGTTCATCTCTTTGGCCATCACACTTCACAAAGTTGCTGTAAGGATATCGTTGAGAGAAGATTGTGTTTGTCATCCTAACAGAACATAACTACAATAAATAGCAGTCACAAAAAAAAAAGAGGCTTAAAATATTGTAACCTGGTAGATTTCACCACCTATACTTTATTACTGCTCTTGTTTTATCCAACTGCAGGTAGCCCTTGACTTAGAACCATTTGTTTAATGACACTTCAAAGTTATAATGCCATTGGAAAAAAGGGACTTACAACCGTTTTTCATACTTATGAACCTTGCAGGATCCCAATTCAAAATTCGGACACTTGGCAACTGACTCATATTTATGATGGTTGTAGTGTTCCTGAGTCATCTGATCACCTTTTGCGACCTTCTGACAAGCAAAGTCAATGGGGAAGCCAGATTCATTTAATAACTGCGTTACTAACTTTAACAACTACAGTGATTCACTATTGTGGCCAGAAAAGTTCTAAATGGGGCAAAACTCACTTAACCTTGCTTAACTAACTAACTTAACTTAACTAAGCCTTGCTTAACAACAGAAATTTTGCTCTCAATTGTTGCCCTTAGTCAAGGACTACAGGTAGTTCTCAACTTGCAACAGTTCATTTAGTGACCGTTCAAAGTGACAATGATACTGAAAAAAAGTGACTTATGATCATTTTTCACACTTACGACCATTGCAGCATCCCCATGATCACGTGATCAAAACTCAGGTGCTTGGCAACTGACTCATACTTATGACAGTGACAGTGTCCCAGGGTCATGTGATCACTTTTCGCAACCTTCTGGCAAGCAAAGTCAATGGGCAAGCCAGGTTCACTTAACCATGTTACTAACTTAATAACTACAGTGATTAATTTAACATCTGAAGCAAGGAAGGTCGTAAAATGGGGCAAAACACACTTAACAAATGTCTCCACAACAGAAATCTCAGGCTCAATTATAGTCATAAATCGAGGATTACCTGTACCTCTAATCTCACTTCTAAATTACTGAAGAGGTAGAATTCCAAGTTAAGGGATTGAATGTCTAAAGGCCTAATTCCCATGTTATGAACCTGTTCAGTCATTTAGATTTGTAGCCAGACAGTTATCTCAGTGGTGGGTTGCTACTGGTTCGCCCCGGATCAGGCAAACCAGTAGCGGCGGCCGCAGGAGGCTCTGCCCCAGACGCTTCTGCGCATGCGCAGAAGCATCACACATGCGTCCAAGCGTGTGTGTGCCCACAAGCGACGGGATTTGAAACCCACTACTGATTTTTGTATGTCAGGGGTGTCAAACTCGATTTCATTAAGGGCCGCATCAGGGTTGTGTTTGACCTCAGGGGCCGGGCTGGGCATAGCCAGCTCAATGTCACTTGTATCAGGAGTGCTTTTGATGGTCCAGGCCAGGGGTGGGTTCTACTTACCTTTATTACTGGTTCGCAACAGGAAGCATTTTGATGATGTCGGGGTCGGTGGGCGGAGCCTCCCGCTGGTTTTACTACCGTTTCTATAGAACCGGTGCGAACCGGGGGCAACCCACCACTGGCCCAAGTGCTCTGCCAATGAAAATGTGCGCCCAAGCTCCATTTTCAACTGCAATGGCTTCCTGCAACCCTCTGCTAGTGAAAACGGAGCTCAGGAGGGCAGTCCACCCCAGCTCCATTTTCGCTGGCAGAGATACTGCAGGCTGGTCTTTCACTGTTTCCAGGGCGACCCCACAGGCCAGATCTAAGCATCCTGTAGGCCGGATCCAGCTCACCGGCCTTGAGGTTGATACCCCTGGTCTATGTGATGTTCAGTAGAGGGCTTTAGTCCTGGCTAAGCACCCTCTTCCTTAAGAGGTGTGTTTGGCCTTTCCAACCCTCCCTCATTAAAAATAAACTACCGATAGCAAACATTGGAAGATCACTGTGCAAGACTAATTAAAATGTATTGATTTTTAAATAAACGTATTTTTTGTTTAATATTTTTTAATAAAATCTGGGAAAGGCAGTCAAGCCAAATGCTGTCTGGAATAAATGGGTTTCTATTGCCTTGGGAGAAGATAAATCAGGGAGTCTTAACTCATCAAATTATCATATTCTGGCCATTTATGCTAACTGAACTCTTGATGCTAGAGACAAAAAAGAAATAATTTTTGGTATATAGAATTTTGCATCAAGGTTCACTTTGTTATTTTATTATGCGTGTATGTATTTATGGGGCTGTATTTGTATTTTATACACATACGCACATGCAAAGAATAGATAGAGCTCTGACTGTAGACTATGTTATTTTGAGTAATAACTAACAGTAACAGATTTGAAATAGAGAGAACCCAATCTAGATCTCAACAGTTCATTTTTAGCCTTAAAGTGATCAATCAATTAAATTACCGGTTAAAGTTTCTATTGGCATTGTATGTTTATTTAAAAATAGAACAATACAATTTAAAACCAAAGCAATAGTAATACAATGCAATCTAATGTAGCAAAGATCAATAACTACAGTCAGACCAGAAATAAAATGAAGCTGAAATAATGTAATTTGGATAAAACAGCAAAATTGTAAAACATTTTAAAAGCTAAAGTGTTTTGCCACTTCCTTTAGGATTTAATTTCTGCCCTGCTTCATGTCAGTGTAGAATCAAAGATAGATTTTATGAAGTACAGTTACTCTTTCATTACTGGCTTCCAAAAACTATCAACATCTCTTATCCTTTTAGGTTTCCATTATGGGGGAGACGGGAGTAGATGATCCCAGCCTCGTTGATCAAGAGCTTCGGGATATGGATGAAGATCGCTTATGGGAGATGGTGGAGGGCCATCGTTACAGAATTGTGAGGGGCGTCTCCCCCAGTCGTCTTACCCCCTATTTACGGCAGGCCAAGGTGCTGGGTCAACTGGATGAGGAAGAAATCTTGCACAGCCCCCAGTTCACAAATAGAGCCATGAGAGTTGGTAAGCACCCTGGATACTGTATTGGAACGTTTATGGCAGTGTGGTGTATGGTACTGTAACATGTCCAGAGCAGAGAAAAGCTTTAGACAATGGAGAAACAGTTATAAAGACTTGTGATGTCTAGTGGGATTATATCTTGGCTCCATCACTACTCTGTCAAAGGGCACCAAGAAGCTGATGCATAGTAGTCAAAGCTAGCCAAATTACTTTGGGACATGGGGCAATAAATTCCTTACCCTTCCTATTCCTCACAATATAAATATCACAAATTAATGTTTTGCTGCTACCCAAAATCTGGTATCAGAAAGAGCCACCTCATTCTATCTAAAGTAGCACTGATTTGATCTGGGAGGAGGGGAGGGGGGAGAGAAAGAGACAGAGAAATTATTTTCTTGGATAGATATAGTAGAACACTATGGAATCTAGTCTATTCTATAAACTATAGAATAATAAACTTGATTACATACAAAATTTATAATGTTGTAGCTCCATCACAGGTAAATGGAGAAGTATACCTGTTTAAGTGGCAAGCTTGCTCTTTATTTACAGGTTAAGACATATAGGGTAACAACCGGGGTGGGTTCTACTTACCTTTATTACCAGTTTGCAACAAGGCCGCGCACATGCGCAGAAGCATTTTGGTAACGTCAGGGTCGGTGGGTGGGGCCTCCTGCCGGTTTTACTACCAGTTCTATAGAACCGGTGGAAACCGGGGGCAACCCCCCACTGGTAACAACACTGCACTTAAAAGATAATGCTTTTAGTGAAACCAAAGGAGATTTGCAAGTACGTTTTCTCAAATACTGTTAAATTACAGTGTTATTCCTGGAGAAAGGGTGAACTATATGGCATACTGTATGTCCTTTAAGTTTCTCTGCCTGGGTAACTTTAGGCTGTTGGACTTTTAGTTCTCATCATTTTACATTATTGATCTTCCTGCTCTCTTATAGGCCACATGCTGGATCTCTTGAAATCCCGTGGGAAAAATGGGGCTCTTGCTTTTCTGGAAAGCTTGAAACTTCACAATCCTGATATTTATGTGCTCATTACTGGCTTGGAGCCTTCCATAGACCACAACAATTTTAGCGGTGAGCTTTTCCCATCCTTCCTACCTCACCCATTCTTACCTGCCTTGTTTTTCTAGGCAAAACTGATGAAACTGGCTCCACTAATCACTTTGTGGCGATCTGAGAGTTGATTCACCAAGCTGGGTCTGGTTTGATTATCAATATAATCAATATATATAGGGGAGATAATTCAGAATGGCATCTCTTCCTCGCTTACCAGTTTTTCTTCGGTACATGCACAATTTATTCTCAGCGTGCAGCAAATAATAATAATATATAGCTGAGCCTTTGATACCTTAGTGCTATCATTCTGCTGATTGAAGTAGAAGCTTTATGGTGTTCAGGTCTGGGTGTTGAAAAAGGCCTAGCATTTTTTTTTTTTTTTTAAATTTGATTTATATGCCGCCCTTCTCCGGAGACTCAGGGCGGCTTACAGTGTGTTAAGCAATTTTGTCTCAAAGGTGCTTTTTCAAAAGGCAACTGGATTTTGTTTTTTCCTTGAAGAAGTTTTGCTTCTCATCCAAGAAGCTTCTTCAGTTCTGACTTTAGAACTGACCTCAATTCTGACGGCAGAACTGAAGAAGCTTCTTGGATGGGAAGCGAAACATCTTCAAGAAAAAACCAAAGTCCAGTTGCCTCTTGAAAAAGCACTTTGGGGGCAACCATGACCTGGATGTCTGAGAATCTCTATAGACACCTAAGCTTGTTCTTCTTTTCTCTAGATCTGATTGAAAGTTCCCAGCTGACAGAATGCTTGGCCAAAGCAGTTAGCAGCCTGCAAGAGGAGCTGAGCCAGGAGAAACGCCAGAAGGTGTCCCTCCTTCAACACTGCCGCAGACTCAAGGAAAACACTGCCCGACTGGAAGCTGAGGCTGAAAGCCTACGGGGCATTGAAACTGAGTGTAACCGGATGAAGAGGGAACTCAGTGCTCACTTCCATGAGGCCCTCAAGCTTAAAGATGAACTTTATGGGCTCTCTTTGCGCTACAGCAGTGCCCTTCAAGAGAAGGACCTAGCTATTACCCGCTGCAGGAGTTTGCAGGAAGAGGTGTGAGAGAAGAAGGGTGCATGAAGCTTTTCAGGGTTTGTGACATCATATTAGCAGGTCCTGAGTGCCATTGGTAGAGTGATTGTAGATGGTCTGATCTGCTGAACTTACCATGGCATTTTGCAGGTCAAGAGGAGGATAATTCTAGGTAAAATGCTTGCTAGAGCACCAGAATGGTTTTGCTTGTAACCTGCAGTCATCTGTAGCTGTCCACTTTTGTTTGGAAGTGCAATAGAATATGAGAAATGTTAGCTCGCATGGAGCATCTATCTCAATATCCTGTTTCCATGGATACTGCTGCTGCTGCTGCTGAAGATGAAAGATGCAGCCTAACCAACAAATGGAAAACCCAACAGAGAAAATCTAGCTTAATCTGAATGACAGGAATGCATGTCTAGTGAACCATAATAGAATTGATGGGCTTTTAGTTATATACCAATTTGGGACTATATTTCAGACTATTTTTTTTTTTAAAAAATAATTCTGATGCCTGAAAATCAGGAGTGGGGAGGGCTGTTCATTACAATTGAATCTTCGGGTATTATTGACCAAGATGAATCTTGTTTGGTTGTAAGATAAGTTTGAGAAAATAGAAGAATAATTGGCTATTATGATTTCTCTAGCATTTGCCCCCCCCCCCTTTTTTTCTTTTTCCTCCTGTGTTGCGATCAATTGGATCTTTATTGCAATTTAGCTGTGTTTGCGGGCTATCACTACCCTTGGGCTGTAGACAGCTTCCATTTAGCACTTAGTAATGGGATGTGTAACAAATTGAGGATATGGAAAATAGGAAGAGGAGGAATTATTAGGTATTTATTTATTTATTTATTATTTAAATTTCTATACCGCCCTTCTCCTTTCGGACTCAGGGCGGTGAACAGCCAAAATAAAACATTTGTACACAAAAGTTAAAATAGTTTTAAAATAATTAAATAAAATTTGGCCCATAATTTAAAACATTCCAATTAAAATCAGTATCAATTTTAAAAACCAATATAAAATCAGGCCAGCCCAGCTAACTGAAAGAAATAGGTTTTAAGGGCCCGACGAAAAGTCCGGAGGTCTGGGATCACTCATATCTCTGGGGGTAGATTGTTCCAGAGGATAGGCGCCATCACAGAGAAGGCTCTCCCCCTGGGGGTTGCCAGCCGACATTGTCTGGCTGATGGCACCCTGAGGAGGCCCTCTCTGTGAGAGCGAACTGGCCGGTGGGAGGCAATTGGTGGCAGAAGGCGGTCCCGTAAGTACCCCGGCCCTAAGCCATGGAGCGCTTTAAAGGTGATCACCAACACCTTGAAGCACACCCAGAAGTCCACCGGAAGCCAATGCAGCTCGCGCAGGATGTTTGCCACTTTGAGTTACCTATAAAGTAATGAAGCGGGATAAAATCTAATGAATACATTCTTAGAGCAAGAAGCTCAGGACTGATGTTGTGGAGGGAACTGCACAAATAATATAGGTAGTCCTCAATTTACAGCAGTTCATTTAGTGACTGTTCAAAGTTACGCCGGCACTGAAAAAAAGTGACTTATGACCACTTTTCACACTTATTACCGTTGCAGCATCCCCATAATCACGTGATCAAAATTTGGATACTGGAAACTGGTTCATGTTTATGATGGTTGCAATGTTCTGGGGTCATATAATCAATCACCTTTTGCAACCTTCTGACAAGCAAAATCAATAGGGAGATCAGATTCACTTAACGACTGTGTTACTAACTTAACAACTACAGTGATTAATTTAACAACTGTGGCAAGAAAGGCTGTAAAATGGAACAAAAGTCCCTTAACAAACATCTCGCTTAGCAACAGAAATTTTGGGCTCAATTGCGGTCGTACGTTGAAGATTACCTGTTAATTTTTGTTTCAGCTCCGCTAGCCTTGTTCACAGCTTCTTTTTTTTCTTTCTGTGTACCTGTCCATGGTAGTTCTACTTGATGAAGCAAGAACTGCAGCGAGCCCAAGTATCATCGTGCCATCAAAGGGAAAGATCCTCAAGAATTTCTGGGGATACGCAGATGCAGACAGATGAGCTCTTAAAGCTGATGGAAGAGAACGAGCATCTCAAGTCACTGTTGGAGCTGGAAACCTTCAGTGTGGTAAAAGAAGTTGTCAGCTATGCTCCTATTCATCCTTTCCTAATAATCCTAGGAATAATAGGGTGGATAAGAGATCCATAACACATAATTATTCGTAATTTTACCAGATTACAATTTCAGGCTTCTTTGGGACAAACTAGGAGAGGTAACTTATGAAGAAAACCACACGAGTTTACAGGAGGTAGCATGTCCAAAGCTTGCTTGGCCAAGGGTAGCTTTTTGCAAAGGGAAGCCAAAGACTTTTGCACAATGGGATGAAGGATTTTCCCCCCAGCCCGTTTAATCAAGATTTAGCATGCCTTTGTGTAAGTCTCCTACAACTGCACAATGGTCTTTTCAGGCTGCCGTTATGTGGCAGTACAGAGGTGGGTTTCAGCAGGTTCTGACCAGTTCTGGAGAACCGGTAGTGGAAATTTTGAGTAGTTCGGAGAACCGGTAGTAAAAATTCTGACTGGCCTCACCCCCATCTATTCTCTGCCTCCCGAGTCCCAGCTAATTGGGAGGAAATAGGGATTTTGCAGTAACCTTCCCCTGGATTGGGGAGGGAATGGAGATTTTACAGTATCCTTCCCCTGGAGTGGGGTGGGAATGGAGATTTTACAGTATCCTTTCCCTGCCATGCCCACCAAGCCATGCCATGCCTCGCGCACCACGCCACGCCCACAGAACCGGTAGTAAAAAAAATTGAAACCCACCACTGTGGCAGTAGCACAGCTTGAGAGCCTCTTTCATATGGGTACCCCTATCTGTCTCTAGGTGTGGCGTGGAACAGGGGTTGGGATAGAAAAGCTTCTCTAATGAGCCTGCCTTACCTGTCCAGGTGCAGAAAGATATTCTAGAGCAAAACCTTGATGATGCTCTGGAGGGCAAACAGGAATTGCTAAATCGACTTCACTCACTGAGAGAGCAAGCAGCCCTTGCTGAGAATCAGCGAAAACAGGTGAGAATGCCGTGCTACCTGAAGTTACCTGCTCCTATGCAAGAGGGAGGGAGAAAGTCTCTTTCTGTGCCTAGGAGAGGCATCTTCTATACTTTCAGGAATTGTCACCCTCCTATGTGCCTACCTACACCCCTGGGGATCAGGAAGTAGCTTGTCTCTTATGTATATCGCAGCAGCTGTGTGAAAATTAAAAGTATATTAACTGCAGTAAGACCAGTCCTTCTTCAGTGTTCAAGGACAACGACCTAATTTGATCTTTAGCCCTTTATCTAAAAGGGCTAAAGAAGAGTAGATATTTTGTAATGTTGGTTTTACATACAGAATTAAGCGCATTATAATCCTAATAGAGTAGCCAGTAATCTTGAGCTACTAATCCCGAAGTCTTCAACAGCATTGCTGCCTTGTGCTTGTAAGGTGGTTATAGGCAAATTGTTTTTTTTTTAAATTTATTTATTAAATTTCTATGTCACCCATTTCCCCTACAAGATGACTCTTTATATACAAATTATATAAAGTTTTCATCTTGGTTCTGAGACATCAGTTTGTAATAGGAGGTTAAAGAGAATTTAGGCCACATTAGACTACTGCTTTTGTAAGATTTGCCAATATTACATGTAATAAGAGCAATGGGCCCTAAATAGGAAAAAAAAAATGATACCAAGACTATATACTTTCATCTTGCTGTATTTGTGTTTTTGTGCAGTGTTGGGAAGAAAAGGAAAATACCTTGATTGAATGTCAAAAGATGAAGGTGGACTGTGAGATCTACAAGGAGCAAATCAGTGCCCTTCAGGCTCAAATAGCTGATCTACAGAAAGAAAGAGATCAGGTATTAGAAAATGTGATGAGCACGGAATGAGAGCTTTTCAATCCAAGTGACAAAAAGGTTGTCAAAAGATGAGAGAGACTGTCTTGCTGACAGAGATCTTAACATGATTGAACCTTGCAGATTGAACTGCCAACTTAAATACTTTGAGTCATGTAAAGTCCACTGGTAGAACTCAGTACCTTGGAACCCCTAAAAGAGATTTTTATTTAATTTTGTACTTTGCAAACTAGGCTTCATGCAGCTTTCCAGTGGTTCACTATGTTCAATGCTACAGCCATTGCAGGTAGTCCTCGATTTAACGACCACAATTGAGGCCAAAAGTTCTGTTGCTAAGTGAGACATCTGTTAAGTGAATTTTGTCCCATTTTATGATCATTCTTGCCACAGTTGTTAAGTGGATCACTGTAGTTGTTAAGTTAGTAAGATGGTCGTTAAGTGAATCTGATTTTCCCATTGACTTTGCTTGTCAAAAGGTTGCAAAGGGTGATCACAAGACCCCAGAACACTGCAACTGTCATAAACATGAAACAGTTGTCAAGCATCTGAATTTTGATCTTGTGACTATGGGAGGATGCTGCAATGGTCATGAAGTGTGAAAAGTGTTCATAAGTCACTTTTGTCAGTGCTGTTGTAACTTTAAAATGATCACTAAATGAACTGTTGTAAGTCGAAGACTACCTGTGTTTTTAAAATTACTACAGTATTATTGGTTACTATAGTTCTATAGTATGTCCCTTTCTTTGGATTGATTCTCACCATTCCTACCTTAATTACTAAAGCCATTTTAATTACTACATGAAATGTGCTTCACGTTGCCTATATAGCTTATTTCTGTCATTTTTCTAAAATCTCAAAACCTTCATATGTAGTTGTCTCTATTTAAATCCTGTAGGCCTACAATGCCAGGGACACTGCTCAGTTGGAAATTTCCCAAAGCCTCCTGGATAAAGATTCTCTTCGCCGTAAAGTCTTTGAGCTCACAAATGAAATTTGTGAAGTCAGGAAAAAAGCCAGCATGGGAGTTTCAGTGCTTACGGTAAGTTATGATCGTGGTTGGGCCAGTGGTGAAATCTGAATCTGTTTGCCACTGGTTTTCTGGTTGCGCATGCGTGGTGTGCACCAAGCATGCGCTGTGAGCGCATGTGTAGTGTGCACCAAATGCACGCTGTGTGCGCATGCATGCACAGTACACACCAAATGCGTGCTTCACACAGAAAAAGGAGGCTTGGGAAGGTAAGTAGAACAGCGAGGGGGGGAAACAGCTGTGCCACACGATTTTAAATCACGCGGCACAGGTGATCGTTGGAAATACCAGTTTGGGGAAACCAATAGCTTTTTTTTTACTACTGGTTCGCCTGAACCGGTAGTTTTTATCACCGGTTTGCCTGAATTGATGCAAACCGGTAGAAGTTCACCACTGGGCTGGGCTTAGGAGAAAAAGGGATAAATCTGTGCTTCCCCAAAATGCCTCCTAATATTTGAAAGCCTGCTTCATAAAATGCAAAATGCAGTTATTACACAATAAATAGAATTTTATTTTGTGTTCTCAATTTTCCCATCTGATTCAGGGGTGGGTTCTACTTACCTTTACTACCGGTTCACAACAGGACCGTGCATGCTCGCTTTGCTCGTGCATGCGCAGAAGCTTCTGCGCATGTGCAGATCGCTGATGACGACATCCAGGGTGGTAGGCGGGGCCTCCCACCGGTTTTACTACCAGTTCTTAAGAACCGGTCTGAACCGGGGGCAACCCATCACTGATCTGATTCCTTTTTAAGTAGCTATTTCTTTCAAGACAAGGACCACAAACTATAGATACTAACATTGCCTTTATTGCTAGATCACACTAACAGAACCTTGCAAATCTGAAAGTATTTCTCCCCTCTTTTACTTCCCAGGAAACTAGGGAGGGTCCTTTTTGCTTCTGTGGGCGGAAATATATCTTTTGTATGATGATTGTCTTACCTGCAGCTCTTCCTCCTATCTCCTAAGGTTATTCCCATCTCCACACTATTCTCTTTCTATCTTTGTGTGACTCACTGAATTACACTTTTATCAGACGGGATATTAATGCACTGTTTGTATCTCCTAGGTGATTTGCAAGGTACACTGACTTGCAACATTTGAACTAGATTATATATTTTTATGATATACTGCCCAATATGTGTTAGAACTGATACTATCCTTATTATTAGCAGTAAATACTTCATGTAGCAAGGATACAGCTAAGACTGTTGACTTAATCTACAGCAGTTTATTTTACCAAAAAAAAAAAAAGCATTACGTGAAATCCTCAGTTGATCTCAACAATTGTGAGAAGTGAAAGCCAGTATCTATGGGTCATCTGTTGGCAGTCATGGCATATGAAAGATGCCACAGACTCTTCTCTGTCTTGTAAACCAAGATATTCTCCTGAGGGGACACTTTCTATTTCCTTAGCAGGTACCAAGGAGTGGGCCTCCCATCACTGAATCCAAGGACCATTGTCCAAAGAAAAAGCAGCCCCTAGTACGAATGCATGCCATCTGTCCTCGGGAGGACAGTCAGGACAGCTTGATGAGCATATCAGAGGTGTGCATTTCAATCCTCCACTCATTTCACACCTTTGTATCTTCTTTAAGTTCAAGATCTTGGGTAAGGAGGGATGGTGAGATATGGAATAGGCCTGTTCATGAAGTTGACCAAAGGTCTGCTAGGCAAAGCTTTACAAGAAAACCTGGGAATAGCTCTGAATGGGGAAATTTGAGTTCAGTCACACTGGAGGATACTTATGACCTGACTGTCCTTTTATTTCGTAGTCTTGGTCAAGTCATGATCAAATGGACAGTTTCCGATCGTGCAGCCCAATCCCACCTTGTAAACTTTCTCTACAGAGAAGAGCCATGCAAGACAGCTCGCTTTCTTGGAGGTAACTATTTCGGGGTTTTGTGGAGATATCTCATATTTTGTGCTAGGCTGAATTTGCAGATGTGACAAAGAACACTTCTAGGTTTTTTCAAGTGCTGGGAGCAAGAGTTTCACACAAAGTGTGTCACACAATGCTGAGAGGTAAAAACTGACTCCTTTAAGGTCTTCGTGTTCCATTAGATTCTGTAAAATAAAATCTAGTCTCCAATCATGCAGGTGTTTAGTTCCACTAGAGTTAAATGGACCTGTTCTAATAGAAAGACCTCTTAGGTCCCTTCCAACTCTGTTATTCTGTTAACTGTTATTTATGACAGGTTAAGAACAAGGTGGGTAACCTTGTACTTGTGCATGATGAATACCCTGTGTGGGGCTATGATTTCCAGTTTTGTTTCTGGAGGAGCCATGGTACAGTGGTGGGTTCTACCTGGATCGGTGAACCGGTAGCGGCAGCAGTGGGAGGCTCCGCCCACCTGCGCCGGATGCTTCTGTGCATGTGCAGAAGTGTGTGTGCGTGCAAGCGTGTGCACAAGCGAACTGGTAGCAATGGGTTTTGCAACCCACTACTGCCGTGGTGGCGCAGTGGTTAGAATGCAGCATTGCAAGCTAACTCTGCCCACAGCTAGGAGTTCAATCCTGACCGGCTCAAGGTTAACTCAGCCTTCCATCCTTCTGAGATCAGTAAAATGAGGACCCAGATTGTTGGGGGCAATATGCTGACTCTGTAAACCTCGCAGAGAGTGCTGTAAAGCACTGTGGAGTAGTATATAAGTCTAAGTGCTATTGCCATTGCTATTTTCCCTCATCTTGGAAGGGTTTAACAGGTTAAAAATATCCTAAAGCTGCATACAATGATGCTATGTTTCTTAACAGCCCATTTCACTGCAATGTAATGGAAAAGGTTTGTGAGAGGTGGATGCTCCCAAATACTGTTTGGAAGCTGCATGCAACACTTAAAATTTAGGATGCCCATTTTTGGCACAGAGGAAATAAGAGAATGTTGAAAGTAATCATGCAAATTGAATTGCTATTTTTTACAAACAATCTAAATAGTAACAATTCTTTGTCAGTCTGTTGCATTTCTAAAGCTTTTATTTATATAATACAAAATAACATGTAACATAAAATAATATATGTCAAATTATATTTTCAATCAAATAAATAATACAGAGATTTGATTAAGATTTCCCCTGGCTCATATCTGAAATAGCTATGCTGATCTTTTGAACTTTAAAATAAGTCTCAAGAGGCCAAACCGCACCCTTTATCCTTTGAACTAGATCAATGAGGAAAACCTCTTGGTCTTGGCATTTCAAAAATACAGAAAATGCCTAACTTGACTCCGCTGGAGTGTTACCCCCCACCCCCCCACACACACACAAAAGAGAAAGAAATCTTGACATATTCATTCATTTTTTTAAAAATACAATCCAATCATGCATGGTGTTACATGTTACATAAACAAATGTCCAATAATTACAAAAAAAAATACAAGTAAAACAAATTTGAATACATATAAAATAATAATAATGAAAAAACAGATTCATCATTTTTCTATAAGTAAATTGAGATAGGGTATGGTCGGAAGGAAAGACACAGCTCAAAGGACTTGAATGTCTCTCCCATCATTCTACCTGATTTAGAGGAGTGTCAGTCATTTTTTAGCTATGGTGGATTTCACTTTCAATTAAACATTTTAAAAGACAATGGTTTGCTAAAAACTTGGAAAAGGGGAAAGGAGAGCAAGTGCCCTGGCCCACACTTCTGAAGTATTCAATATAGGTAGTCCTCAACTTACGACCATAAATGACTCCCAATTTTCTGTGGCTAAGCAAGACAGTTGTTAAGTGAATTTTGCCCCATTTTATGACCTTTCTTGCCACAGTTGTTAAATGAATCACTTCAGTTTTAAGTTAATAACATGGTTGTTAAGTGAACCTGGTTTCCCTATTTTTGCTGGTCAGAGGGTTGTAAAAAGTTATCACATGACCCTGGGACACTACAACTGTCACAAATACATGCCAGTTGCCAAGCATCTGAATTTTGATCATGTGACCATGGGGATGCTGTAATGGTGTGAAAAACGTTCATAAGTCACTTTTTTTTTAATGCCATTGTAACTTCAAACAGTCATTAAACGAATGGTTGTAAGTTGAGGACTACTTGTACAATAGATTGTCAAATAAAAGGTTCTGCCCCAGGCCCAGGTAACTCTCAGAATAAAATGCCCATCTAAGATCCGAGTCACACCAGGTCTTCACTCTGGAAGTAACTTCAGAAAATGCTCTTGACTGGCCTTGCAGCCTCCAAAAGGAATGGGAAAACTCTGGGAGCTTTTATTTTTTCCATTCACAAGTTGTAGTTTCTTTCTCTTTTATGTCTCTTCTTGAAACAGTTCTCAGGAGTTCCTGGACGAGGAATTTTCTGTCACCTCAGCTGAAGAGAAAGGGAGGGATCCCTCTTTTGAATATGACATGGGGAGAGATGGTAAGAGTTTCCCCCAGGGGAAACATTTTCTGTTGTATAGTGGGCGATTGAAGAGACAGAGGCAGATCTTCGGCTTTAACTCTTTATTAGAACAAGCAATAACCCAGCAACTGTTTGTCTGACAGCTTGCCCTTTTATATGGAACTGTCAGACATCTTAGCCAATCGGCTTAAACTATTTTTCCCGCCTAAACGGCGGACCTGAGTGAAGCCTATTTATTCGGCTTTACTCCTTTATTGAATATTCAACATTTTCCTTGTATTTTCTAGCCTGTGGAAGAGGAAGGAAAACATTCCCTCATTAATGTATTTGTAAACCTACTTTGTTTTTTTAGTCCAATAATTATTCTAGCAGTGCCATTTGGAAAGATCTATTTGCTAAAGCCCACATAATGTTAAGGCAAATCCATAACATAAATAACAGCAAGGCATTAAATTAGTTTTAAAGATATTGTTCAAATTTAAATTTTGATTAAAGAGGAAAAAAGAAGGGAAGGTACAAATCAGTCTGGTTCTTTCCAGAGCTTTTGGACTTCTGGATACTTAGCCAGGTTGGCCAAAATTTGGGAAATCCTGGAAATCCTATTGCTTTCCTTTTTCTCCTACTATAACCCCCTACAATATGGAAAACTTATTTCCACTTTTGCTCTTGAAAACCATGTTCAATTTTCCTCACCTTGTTTTTCCTCCTTGAGGAGAAAAAAATTGGGAATTCATATCGTAACAAGGCAGGGAAAATACAATGAGAATGTTTTGAAGATTATTTACTAGCCATAAAGGCAATTTTGCTTGATTTCAGGGAGGCCTGGACTGGAAACCAACCACTGATTGCTTTGGTCTCATGTGTTTGAATGTATCTTTCTTACAGATGGCTCTTCCCTCTGGCTCCACGTAGACCCTTGCATCTCTGAGAGGTAAACACAGTCCCCAGCAAAGTGGTTTTATTTTATAATGCTTTATGGTATCCAAAGACAAGGAATATGAAGCGAAATAATTTATAGTTAGATTTTTATAGTATTTTATCTGTGTATATGTTTTGTATAATTTTATCCATTTAATATTGTAAATAAAAAGATATTGGTAATATTGGTAATAAAAGGATATAGTTTTATCTTTTTTAATATTGTAAGCCGCCCAGAGCTACTCTATAGTAAGTCGGGTGGTCAATAAATTTAATAAATAAAAATAAATAAATAAATAATGGAAAGAAGGTTTTAGCTGCCAAACTTCCCACTTGGCAATCTAGACAGGAAAGAATCAAGAATCTAAGAGTTCTGATGACCAGAATTGACTGGAAGACACAACACAAAGATCCCAACAAGTATCTTACAGTACTTTCAAATGAGACATCAATATATAGGCAATTCAGAGAGGCAAAACTTGTGTCCCAAGTTTTTTTTCATATAGGAAGCCAGAAGCTTGCTTTTTTAAAAAAAAAAAATGAAGGGAGGCAATCTGTATCTGTCACTGTTTTGACAACTATCACACCCATCAGTGTGAGAGGAGTAACTCAAAGACAAACTGTGATTGTTAGCTAAGGAATCTACAGAAGGCAAATATTAGAGAAAGGTATAAAATAAACTTTTATTCAGGCAAAAAAGAAAATATGGGCATAATTACTTGTATTTAAGAGTAATTCAGAATTATGGCTCTGTATACATATGTACAGGTCAAGGGTGGGTTCTTCTTGCCTTTACTACCGGTTCGCAATGGGATCGTGCATGTGCGCTTGCTTCGCTCACGCGTGCGCGCACCAAGCTTTTGCACATGCACAGATTGCCTATGATGACATCCAGGTCGGTGGGCAGAGCTTCCCACTGGTTTTACTACCGGTTCTTGCGAACCGGTCCGAACCGGGGGCAACCTACCACTAGTACAGGTAGTCCTCAACTTACAACCATTCATTTAGTGACCATTTCAATGCACTGAAAAAAAGTGACTTAGGACCATTTTTCACACTTACAATGGTTACAGCATCCCTGTGGTCACGTGATAAAAATTTAGATACTTGGCAACTGGTATGTGTTTATGTTGGTTGCAGTGTCCCAGGGTCATGTGATCACTTTTTGCGACCTTCCAACAAGCAAAGTCAGTGGGGAAGCCAGATTCACTTAACAACCATGTTACTAACTTAACAACTGCAGTGATTCATTTAACAACTGTGGCCTCACGAAAGAAACAAGAAAGATTGTAAAATGGGACAAAATTCACTTAACAACTGTCTTGCTTAGCAACAGAAATTTTGGACTCAATTTTGGTTGTAAGTTTAGGATCACCTACATATGCTCACAGAAGGTCTCTTTAAGGGGTAAAATGTGAGGTCTTAGAAATGACTTTGTATTCTGGTTATTTCCTCTGATCCTTGGAGGCACTATTGCATTATTGGTGTCCTTTTATGTTTATTAATGTGTGGCAAAGAGATGGTCTTTCATTTCAAGTCTCCGACATACTCTTTTCCATTGTGGCTATTTTCTGCAAATGAATAAGCCTGGTTTAAATAAAAGCATGCCTGCAGGCCATTGCACTGCTCTCTTGACTGTTTCCTGTTCATCAGTAGTGGGTTTCAATTTTGGCTGCTACTGGTTCGCTTGTGGGCGTGCGCACGCTCGCGCATGCGCACATTGCTTCTGCACATGTGCAGAAGCTTCTGCGCATGCGCAGATACATCCAGGTGGGTGGGCGGAGCCTTCCGCTGACACTGCTACTGGTTTGCCCGATCCGGAGCGAACCGGTAGCAACCCACCACTGTTTTTCATGTCCAAGTAGAAATTAGAGGTATGTTATTTTCTTGGTTTATGTAGAACAACTGCCAAGGCACTGTGACATTACTTAAAACTAGAGTGGGCAGCAAAATCTGGTAGCCACTAGATGGCAGGAAAATGTTACAAGTTTTATATTTACAGTGGCCAAAGCACCTGCTTAGTGTTCTTCCTCTGCCCCATATTTTTAAAAGCTATTCAAATATTTTTAATAGGAAGACGACATCCTGCAGAATAGAGTGAAGCATTACTTTTAGTTTAAATATTGTCTCTGGCCCTTTCAGCATTCTAAAAAAATAAAAATATAAAAGACAAATGCTGCAAACAGCCCAACAAAAAAGACAAGAATAAAATAGCAAGAGTAAACTGGAGTGACAGAGCCTACACACAGTAGGGAGTAACCATCTACCTCTTTGTCATAGGTAAACAGATATTTGTAATTGGCCATACATACTATTTTATTATAGGCAACTATTATAGCCATTTCATGGAAATATTCATAACATATTATAAAAATTCAAATATATACATCAATCCTAAAATATTCCCTACCACTGATTTATAATATCTGATGATGGACATTTCAAGCCCATAATGGCTTTCCTTGATCTAAATTTGTTTTAATCTTCACATTGAATAGCCATAGATAAGTGTTTCTGCTCAGGTAAGACCAGCTTAGAAGCCAGTCTAAAGTTGGAAAGATGCATCAGTGGGAGGAGCCAGAACCTATATGGACTTTATCCTGTCTGCTTTGTCCTCTTCTTAGTGTACCCATGCGCCGCCGACTTGCACAGCGCTTCCCAAGCCGTATCACAACTATTGCCTTCCAAGCCAATGCTTTGTTGGAGCACATCAGCATCATTGGGGGCAACCAGACTGGCATCTTCATTCATCGAGTCACTCCTGGATCCATTGCTGATGAGATGTCTTTGTCACCAGGCCAGCAGATTGTGCTGGTAAGACACTACATCTTCATTGTATGTTGTGTGGTACCTTCCTGCAAAATCTCTAAAGCAGCGGCCCCCAATCTTTGGGGTACCAGGGACTGATTCCATGGAGAGAGGTTTTTCTGTGGGCCAGAGGGGGCATGGTTTTGTATGCTGCCTGCATCCTGCGAATGGGGCTTTGCTTGTTTGTATGGCCCAGTTTCTGGCATGGCAAAGTCCAGTGCTGGTCCACAGACTGGGGGTTGGGGACCCCCTTCTCTAAAGGACAGTGGGCTCTACCAAATGATGCAATGATGGTACTAGAGCAGCATGACCACACCTGAGCTGGGAGTATCTTGCCATTAGTGCAGTTTCAACAGTTTAAATTTCAACATGTTGCTACCTTGTGCTTTAAGTAATAGTCTGATCTCTCATTGGAGGGGATTTTTTTCACCCCACATCACATCTTGCTGGCTTCCCTTAGAGATTCTATCAAAGTTAAGATAAGGGGTTCAAATCAGGGTGGATTTGATTTAAATCAAGCCAATTTAAATCACAATTTAAATTGTGATTTAAATCACTAGTAAAAAGGCTTGATTTAAATCAACTCAATTTAAATCATAATTTTTAAAGAGCAACTGTCATCTCTGTCCTGCAGCAGCTCCTTCTCTGACCTGCTGTTGACTCACCGACAGTCCCAATATTGCAGAATATACAGCCTCATGCTACATAACTAAGCTCCATTTCATGCTGAATAAACGAAATTATTAATGTATCTTAAATAGAAAACTATCTTTAGATAGATGTGTACACCAAAAGCATTTTATTAAAACAAATTTGATAAAAAAAAATTAAAAATCCAATTTAAATTTTTAAAAAATCCGATGTTTTTGATTTTTTTAAAAAAAATCATCGATTCTTATCCACCCTGGTTCAAATGCAGAAATGCTAATAAGACAACATTACAGGTTACAGGGGTTGACAATAATGTAAGTTTGCCACTATAGTCACCGATAATAAACTTTTGAAGGTTTTTAATGGTTTGGTTATTTTTGCAATCTCCTTGTGTTTGTGCTGCTTCCCTTCAAATTACCTCTAGGATTTCCCCCAAACAATGGATAAACGTTCATTAAAAAAAAATAGTGCAGTATACATCATGAAACACATGGAATTAGAAGAGGTTGCATGGTAATTATTTTATTTTCCGGTTGAGAAAAAGGGGAAAGGATTTGTTTAAGCTGCTGACTTAATGGAATCGAAGGAGGCAAGGACAAGGCATCCAATTATGGGGCAATTTGAAAGGGCAGCTAACAAACACTGATTGTGGCAGTTCTCTGTGCTCTGTTCTGAGTCAGACAGGGACAGTGCTCACAGTGTTTGGTTGGCTGAAAAGATGTGCAAATCTCCCTAATAGCCAGGAACAATCTCAAGTGTGTTTTAACTAGATCGAGAAGTGTAGGGAAACAGAAAAGCTGCTCATCTGGGGTGGGGGGGAACCCCAATACAGTGTGTGTATTTGTGTAAAGATGACATATTTCTCTCTGGAGAACATTTCTCATTCTAACGCCATCTCTGTCCCTATCCCGTTTAAAGGAAATGCTCAAGATTTTATATCGGCTGACATGCCATCAGTCCCTGAGAAAGAAAACAAAATAGAAAAAGTCAAGCATTCTAAGTGGTGCTGAAGGTACTTCCAGCAAGCCTGCAGCATTAGCACCTAGAATGATCATGATTGCTATAAAAATTCCATAGTAGTTCTCCAGCTATTCATTAGCAGTTTTAGGGCTGGGAAAATATGATCTCTGTACTGGAAAGTCTTGTCAGTCTTTTCCATTTCTGGATATCTTTCAGCTGCATAGTCTTTAGTTCCCTGAATTCCCCTGCCAATCTGGCCATTTCTGAAACAAGATAACTTTGCTAGCATTCATTGAACTAGAATCACAGCGTCTGAAAAGCTCAGAATTTACTCAGCCAGTCTGAGCAGTGATGGTGAAATGTTCAGGGTGGCACAACACCGGAATACTTCAGGGTAATTTTTTTACAACTAGCTTGGAACAAATTAATTTATTTGAAAATAAAGTAAGCCAGAATAAGCCAGTTTATTATTGAACAGAAGCTTATTGCTTAACTGCTTTTGCATAGTTTTATCTACCATGTGAGTGGTTCAACAAGCCAGGATATCACCTCCCATAGTTTGTTTAGTTTTTATATCTCAATGTACTCAAATAGGAATAGAGCTGGAAGGGACCTTGGAGGTCTTCTAGTCCAGCCCCTTGCTCAAGCAGGAGAGCCTATACCATTTCTGACAGGTGACTGTCCAGTCTCTTCTTAAAAACCTCCAGTGATGAAGTACCCACAACTTCTGAAAGCAAGCTGTTCCACTGGTTAATATCTGAAATGTAATGGTTGACCGTTGCTTTTCTAATAAGACAAGGAGCACAAAGGCCACAAATCCCAGTTCAGATATCATACTAAACAAACCATAGGCAAAAATCCATAGTTTTGCTTTGCTGTTTTTGCTTATATGAGGATCAAATGGGAATGATTGAGCAGAATGTACTAGAATGTGCTAGAAGAAGAGAGCCAGTTTGGTTCAGTGGTGAAGGTGCTGCCCTGGAAACCAGGAAACTGAATTCTAGGCCTCCCTTAGGCAGAAAAGTTGGCTGGGTGGCTTTGGGCCAGTTACTCTCTCTTAGCCCAACTCACCTCACACGGTTGTTGTTTAGGGGAAAATAAAAAGCAGAAAGATTAGCTGTTGTACTTTGTACATATAGTATCAACCTTGTTAATTCTCAAGACTCTTTTTTTCGCTATGTATTCAAAATGACTATGATTATTTGTGTGTGTGTGTGTGTGTTTGTATGTATATATACAGCATATGTATTTGTGTAGGTGTGTGGGTGTGTATTTATATTTAATTAATATAATCGCTCACAAATTATGAAGGATTTAGATTTATTCATACATCCAAACTGATCTAATTTCAAGGCAGTAGTTGAACAATTATCAGAATAAGATTTTACTGAATAGTGAATCATGTCCCATAATTTTGTATCCCATGTCTCACTATATGTCCCATAAAATGACTGAAACTCCTCTCTAAGCTATGTAGTTCAGCTGCCACTTCCATTATGAACCCCCCTTCACTGTCAAGCGGTTACTATTTCTGTAAAAGTATCATTAATATGGGAAAGTTCTTTCCGGTCTCTGAGCTGAGCTAGGTTGCAACTGTTTGATTTCCTCAAACTGTGTCTCTTTGATCAACATTTCAAGTTCTTTGGATGTATAGGTGGATTATGGAGTCATGGAACCTGGTTTCAAAGCTGTCCTAGAAGATGCAACTCTTGAGGAGGCTCTTTGGGTCCTGGAAAAAGTGAATGGATTTTGTTGCTTGTCTGTGAAGCACAACATGGAAGGTAAGGATATTTGCTTGCCTTGGAGATGGGCTACTGTCTGTCTCTCTAAAGGTTGCTATGACTTCCATTAGACCTCATGATAAGCCATACAGTTAATAGAAATTGGGCTTTGTTGACAACTCATATCATCTATCCCTGGTGTACATGATAGCTTCAAAGTGAAAAAGTCATAATTTATGATCCAAGAATGCTGGTGATCAGGTATTTCTCCCTCTTAGTGGGATCCTACAATGAAGTAAGGCAAATAGTAGATTTGTGAGTACCCCTAAGAGTTGCATACTGGAAAACAAGAAGAAACTTTTCTGTACTATACCACTGAAGTTAATGTAAAAGATGTAATCATAATTGAGATGGGGGAGTGGATTGTGTTCCATTGTAATTAGTATGAAGGAGGATCAACTTGGTGTTTCCATGCAGGAATACCTTCCCAGCATTTATGTTTTTCCAAATCCTAAGAAAAATCAGTTGAGGAATCAAGAAAATGAGAAATAGTATTACCCAGGATAAGCACTGACAATGCTAGCCAGAAGGTGCGCTCTTCCATTCTGGTTGTGGCTTTTGGAAAGGGGGGTGGCTTTCTGATCGGTCTTAATAAACAAAGTTGTGAGAAACCTTTTGCTTGGGGCTTCCAGCACCCAAGTTGGTACAACAGATGGCATTGACAGATCCAGTGTATGCAGGGAATAACCAGAGCCAATTTAAGAGGTCCTCAGCTTTGGTAACAATTCAATGGCTTTGAGTGTGCACAGTGCCTTTTGGTCACATATTATGAAAAAAACCCAGAATAATGTGATTTTGGAAATTCCTGAACATTCCTGGGATTTCCAGTTCCCCATCCCTGAATCCTAAATGTGAATTGTAAATTGGACATACAGTGATTGCGCATCAAATAGTATTCCCCTGATTTTGGCATCTCACTGGACATGAATATGGAATGCAAAGGATCTGTTTGGGAAGTAATTGTGCTCTCACATATTTATCCTCAGCCCCACCTGACTCGGCTTTTGCTGTACTTTGATTCACAGTTTCCAACAAATTTCATCTTACTAGGTTACAAGAAACTATTGACTGACCTGAACTCCAAGCTGGTGACATCTGGTGACTCCTTTTATATCCGATCCAACCTATGCCTTGAGAAACAAGATCCTGGGGAACTTTCGGTTGGATGTCATAACATTCTGCATGTCACTGACACTGTATATCAAGGCCAAAATCAGTGGAGTGCTTGCCAGGTGAATCCTTATACCATGAAAGACATGGATGCTGGTACCATCCCCAACTACTTCCAGTGAGTATGATCATCTCAATAGGTCCAAAGGGAGGACAATCTTGTCCATCTAATACAGAGGTGCACACCTGCTTTCTTCTGCCTTACACATTTCTGTCCCCATTTCTTTGATATAGGGCACAACAGCAACTCATTGCCCTCATTCAAGAATTGGCCCAAAAGAACATGGTCTCCCAGAAGGTAATGAGACAATCTTTTACACTCTTTAGGAAATTAAATTTGCAAGTTGATTCAGACTGCAAACTAAATTACAAAAATGCATCTCCACCAAGCTGGATCAAGATGGGCATAAGGAAGAGGAACTCCATACTGCATTACATCACTGATCTCCCTCGACACAAACAACCTAGGAAATAGATAGGAATAGCAATTTTAGAATTATCAAAAAATCCAAAAGAATTCTTTGAATCATGGCACTCCAACCAAGGGGTAATCAACAGATGTAGACTTAACCCTATAAAAGAAATGCAATTAAAGACTTCAATCACATACAAAATAATTGGCATCCATAGAACTCAGTACTGTACAGAACTAGTACTGTATAGTACTGTACAGTACTATACTATGTCTCTACAGTAACTGACATAGTAGAAAGTTGTATACTGCATAACCTCACATCCCCCACATCTCCTGCACTGGTGATATCACAGAAGTAATCCAACATTGCAGGCCAGAGAACTCTAACAATACAATAAGCCAACCCAGAGCACCAGATACTGTATACTGCACTAACATAGGACTTGTTTTCCTACTAATATGTGGGAGACATCTGGGTGAGAATTACTTGAGTCAAAGGCTTGGCATGAAAGTCCTTTGGGGACATTGTTCTAAAGCAACTTCCCCAAGGTGGTGATCCCAAGCTTAGCTTCTATAATTGCCCAGCTAGCTGTTAAGTCCAGACACAAAAAGAGAGGCAGGACGATCAGTGAAGTAAAACAACCATTTATTGCAGGCAACAGGGAACAACAACAAAATAACTACAAACTGAGGACTGCCTGAGGCTGCAGCTCCTTTTACCCGGAGCTGTCAGCCACTGACGTTTGTTCATTTTCCCGCTGGGGAAAATGAACCAATGAATAAAGGCTGATGTAAGACTCACTCCTACTTGTTTATTCAACACTAACTACTGCCATAACTCCTGGGCTAGCTCTATACATTCTGGGTTTAATATAACGCCTTTCCTTTTGACCATAGAATTCCAGTTTTCAACGCAAGTTGGTCCGTATTGTGAGTACAAGTAACAGGATCAATCCACTTTGGTCCACTATGGAATATAGTTTCTCAGATTCAAACAAGCCGAAAGGTAAGTTCAACTACTGCAATATTGTTTATTGTTGCTGAAAGTTATGTTTACAACCTACAAATATTTGACCATTTTCTAGAAAAAATAACTTTCTGTAGTAACCAGATTACTTATCATAGGCCCACTGCAGCTATTATGTTTCTGGCTTTTTATGTTTCTGACAGTAATTCTAAAGAATCTTTAATTGGGGCAATTTAATAAATGTCTTCACATTTGCTTTCTTAAAACATAGCTAGGAATAAAAAACAAACGAACAGTGGATTTATTTCTCTGATTGCTTTACTCTTTCCTTTCTAGTGAGTCCCAGGAATTGTGTCAGTCTGATGCCATATACTTTTGTCAGGCATTACAGACCTGGGCAGCCACGTCCAGTACTTGTGGTGCCAGCACTTTTGAGGAAGATCCTGGCTGACAAGCTATGCCTTTCCAGGGAATTCGAAAAATGTCCCTCAGGTATACAAGAATCAGCTGGTTTGGTGGAATTTTGCAGGGAAATATTGTTTTAAGTCCTGGAAACCTCAGCATCTGAACTTGAGACAAAGTTAGTGGAAATGTCTAGCTCAGGGGTGTGAAACTTGATTTCATTGAGGGCCGCATCAGGATTGTGTTTTACTTCGCGGGGGGGGGGGGACAGGGCCAGGGGGGGCAGGGTCAGTTCAATGTCCCTCATGTCAGGGGGGCCGGTGGTGGCCCAAGCACTCTGCCAGCGAAAATGGACTTCCGAGCTGTTTTCGGCTGCAATGGCCTCCTGCAACCCTCTGCCAGCGGAAATTGGGCTCGAGAGGGCCGTATGCAGCCCTCCTGAGCTCCCTTTTCACTGGTAGAGGCACTGTGGGCCAGTCCTTTGCTGTTTCCAGGGTGGCCCCATGGGCCAGATCTAAGCACTCCATGGCCTGGATCCAGCCTGCGGGCATTGAGTTTGACACCCCTGGTCTAGCTGAACTAGAAGACAGCTCATTTGCTCACAGTAAACTTCATGAGTTCATGTCTGTGGAGATTCTCAGCCATCCAGGTCATGCTTGTCTCAAATGTTATTTTTCAAAAGGCCACTGGACTAACATAGTCCAGTTGCTTTTTGAAAAAGCACCTTTGAGTCCATCAATTCCTGTTGAAATGGTTGTCTTGTTCTAGAACATAGAATATTTCTTGGTACTGGATTTTCTCGTTCTCTCATGTATCCAAACATTACTTCTAACAAAACATAAGAAAAAGAGATTTAGTTTGGATTCAGAACTATGCCCTCTCATTTTTTTCCCCCCTTCCTGCCCCTGCAGACACTCAGAACACAGAATCCTTCCATGAAAACAAAGATTTGAATGGCAGCTCTTGTATTCCTCGATGGGATCTGGAACAGTTAATGCGAAAGGTACTAGAGGCTGCAAAAACAGATGTTGTACTTGGGTACAGATGCAATTATATCGGGTGAGGGATTAGGATGCGTATACCCTTAGGATTAGCACTGCAAATATTGTTCAGTAGTATCCATACATTTATACATCTCACTCTATCTCTAGGATGTGCATGCCTGGATGGATCTGGGCCTGGAGAGTGTGCAAGAACTTCTGGCAATGGACATTTATCCCATCATTATTCTCATCACCATCGGTGAGAAGAATGCCAAGAAAATCAAGTAAGTACTGATATTTTGATGACTTGCATTTCTCTCTGGCCAAATTGGTACCCAATTATTTTTAATCATCAAAGATGCACCTAAAATCATTTCACCTAGCACACAGTTTTGTGTTTATCCACTGTATCTTGATCTTGGCAATTCTTTCTCCTGTGGCCATCATTCTTCAGTCTTTCCTTAGCACCCAGACAAACATACTTTGTGAGTAAGCTCCCAAATTCTGATTCCCATACCTAAATGGCTTGAATTTCAGGAAAGTTCTTCAGCGCCTTGGAGCAACTGAGGACCAACTTTTGGAGAGTGCCCGGAAAGATGAGGCCCAGCTGGAGACAGTGTCCTGCCTTTATCGCACTATTGCTCCCGATGCCTGGGGTGACCTTGATGCTCTCAACAGCTGTGTCCGTGTGGCTGTCGCTGATGAGCAGAAGAAAGTAGTGTGGGTGGAACAAGTGACTCACCGACCTTTTTAGACCAATAGATGGGACTTAAGGCAATTGTCTCACCCGAGCCTAAGAAAAACTGAATGTGCTACTGTTTGTTCTGGCAGGAAATAGAACATATTCCAAGCCTATCAGCTGCATACTTACTATTTAGAGAGTTACCATTTATTTTCTCATGGTCTCCATCCCTCCTCATCCAACCTCTTTCAAACTGACTTTATCTTCCCTCACCATCCCTTTGAATTCCTGGCAATACATCAATCATATGCTGGCTAAACGTACCACAAACTGTTTTATGTGGGATGTATACGCAGAGGTTTGCTATAATGAATTTTTTAAACTCTTGGGTGAAGTTGGTACTCAAATCAGAAATGCATGGAGACTGGACTGAACCATGTGGAGCACGCAGTTCCTTATGAGCATGAGCATACAGTATATTGAACGTTGAGCATGAAAATAATGGATGCATTTCATTTTTTTTAAATAACAGAATTTCTCACAGGAGAGAAGACTACCATTGCATTGTTTTTAAAAAGTTATCAAACACGAGACTTCCGGTGGCACCGCAGGCACTGACGCTCTTCTCTTGAGCGCCAGCCCCGCGATCTCGTAAAGCCGCTAGAACAGCGCAAATCAGCTGTCTAGTGGCTTGAAAACTTTCTCCCCGGGAAAAGGGGAGGAAGAGAGCAGATGGGCGTAGGTAGAGCTCCCCTAGGAGCCCCAGGAACAATTCTGGGGCTCGAAGGGTGAGAGCTCCCTGGAAGCCCAACAGAGCTCTGGATCTGGGATGTTTTTGCTTTAAGCAGAAGACGCCGCGACCACCCCTGCAAACAACGTTTGAATAAACATCATTCAGAAGCAGGCTGAGCAAACTCAGGAGAGATAAGAACTGCAAGTACTGAACTTTAACTCCAAATGTGTATTACTTCCTTCGAATTTATTAAGGGGAGAAAGTGAAACCAAGATGGCGATTGAGTTTTAATGGGGCGTGAAAGCGAAACTTAAAAAGGAAAGTTTTTTTTTCCCCTCAGCGTTGGCAGCCCCTATGCAAAATTAGAGGCTTGTGCTTTTAAAAATAAAGGGGAAAAAAAGGAGAAGATTAAAGAATTATTTAAAGACTGATTTTTGGATTTGGTGGACCTATTGTTCTGGCAGCTGAGTAAATTTAAATTGGAAACTAAAGATGGCTTCAAAACAAATTAAGGCTATTGTCCCTAAAAGTGCTGGGTCTTCGCCAGCTCACACATCCAGATTGCAATCTCTCTCTGTTCCAACGGAAGCAACAACATTAACACTTAAATGTTGCAGGAAGCCCTCAAAATTCTTTAAACTCTTGGGTGGAGTTGGTACTCAAATCAGAAATGCATGGAGACTGGACTGAACCATGTGGAGCACACAGTTCCTTATGAGCACGAGCATACAGTATATTGAACGTTGAGCATGAAAATAATGGATGCATTTCATTTTTTTTAAAATAACAGAATTTCTCTCAGGAGAGAAGACTACCATTGCAGTTTTTAAAAAGTTATCAAACACATTAACTAGCAAACTGGGCATATTTTTAGGCAAATTAACATTCCCTGCATTGTATTAGTGCATGGATGTCAAACTCGATCGCATCACGCGACATATCGCAACGTTTTTTGCCTTTGCGGAGCTAGGGTGGGCGTGGCCTATGCATGATACGGGCTGCCAGTTTAACACCCCTGTATTAGTGTATTAAAATCCGAAATTGGACTAAAAGAACTTTGCTCGTGCTTCTGTCACACTGAAACTCCAAAAATTTAATTAAGTTTGCCTTATTCCTTGACATATAATACAAAGATTTAGCTAGCAGGCTTAGTATTAGATCAGGGTCAAATTCTCCTTTGGCATTTAGTTCACTAGCTGACTTTGTGACTGTCGCTTAGGCCAGGGGTGGGCAAATGCGGCTCTTTTACACCTGTGGACTTCAACTCCCAGAATTCCTGAGACAGCTTTGCTGTCTCAGGAATTCTGGGAGTTGAAGTCCACAGGTTGTAAAAGAGTCGCATTTGCCCATTTCTGACTTAGGCTAACAGGGCTTTGTAAGTATAACATGGAGATGGGGGAAGAAGCCAGATGTTGTCTATGGGCTGCCTACCCTTGTTTTAATAAAGGAATAAAACCACTCACAAACAAAAAAACTAGTTAAAAACAATATTTCATTTCTTTATTGTATAAAAGTGGGCTTTAGCCGTATTATGCATATTCTGGAGAACTAGCTTTAAATTGGAGCAACTGCTTCGCAGATCTATGCCATCCCAGCAGGCAAACCAAAAGCTGTTTCTAGTCATCTCAGTATTCCGTGGTAGAATAATGATGAAAGGTGGGGGCTACAGAATCTAAAGATAAATATTCATTTCTACTCTTTCAACTGGTTTTAAACTTGGCCAGTTTCTATCCCTGCCCTATGTGTAACAACTGATATGGGACCAGCCCATCTACATTTTTGTGATACCACAATTTGGGTGAGGACACTTATAGAAGTGATCAACTCACCTCTTCAACCAGGCATCTCCAGTTATTTTAATCTGGACTACAACTTTCCATCATTTTCGCAGTGTGTGGCCATTATCCATTCTTATAGGGAAACATGGCAAGTGTGGTCATCCATCTGGAAGATGCTTGTGGCATTCTTATGGCAGCAAATGTTTAAAAAATATGGCATAACTTCATTCTTGCATGGCAAACACCTCCTTGCATTTTACTCAAATTCTTCCCTCAAGTGCAACTTCATCATAGTATTTACTTCTGTAAACTGCAATCATTGCATCAGCATCCGCTGGACTTGCACATCTTTTCCTGCTGCAGACGGCTGAGTAACAGCAACCAAAACAGGAAGGCAAAAAGAAAATCACAGCTCATTATGGAGCGGCCAACACCTGGGGACAGGCTTATCCTCCAAGACACCATCAGGAGCACATACCCAGGGGTCACTGGTCTCCCACTGCCACTTCAACAGCATCCGCTGCAGTTCTTCAAGAGCTTGTGCATAGCGGGGATCAGAAGCCACATTGTGGCTTTCGGTAGGATCGGTGCTGTGATCGTACAATTCCCAGCGATCCCGATAATAGTAGCTACGCAAAGTCTTATTCCAATGAGTTGGTTGCCCTGCCTGAGTTCTGTTCAGCAGGTCCTGGAACGTAGGTGAAACGTAGAAATCTTGATCAATGGGAAAGGAGGTTCGGTTCTGTAGATTGTGAATGAAATGCAGGGAGCCATGCTGCACAGCTCGCATGGGATAGTGCATGGTCACCTCATGCAGGCTCTGACTGGCAAACACAGTTCTCCATTTTGGCTCCAGTGATAATGCTGGCAGCAGAGACTTCCCAGTGAGCTGCACTATCCGCTTCCCAAACAGACTGTACCTGGGATATGGCACAGAAAACCAGTCCAGAATGGTGGGAGTGATATCTGCAGAGAGAGAAGGGAAAGCTGAAGCAGAAAACTTGCATCTGAGCCATGGTGGCGCAGTGGTTAGAATGCAGTGCTGCGGGCTACTTCTGCTGACTGCCAGCTGCCTGCAATTTGGCAGATCGAATCTCACCAGGCTCAAGGTTGACTCAGCCTTCCATCCTTCCGAGGTGGGTAAAATGAGGACCCAGATTGTTGTGGGCAATAGGCTGACTCTGTAAACCGCTCAGAAATGGCTGTAAAAGTACTGTGAAGCGGTATATAAGTCTAAGTGCTATTGCTATCTGATGCAGAGGGAAGAGACCGGAAGGAACTTTTGGCTGCAGGTGTTAACTAGTATGGAACAATATTTCTAAATCCTATAAAAAAACCAGCTGTTTCTTTCTAAGGTTACACCAGTTTCTAGGTTACACCAGTTAGCTCCAGTTCTATACCTTCTACATGCATCTACTCAATAGAATTTAGGCTCGATAAAAATGGTAAGGTAGGAACCAATAGGTTAAACATCATATATATTCAGGAGTAAATCTCTACTCAGGGATAAATTCAACCCAACAGCAGACGCTGACTTCTCTGATACAATGACTAAACAAGTTGCTTTAATGCAGACATGAAAGAAGTCATAACTAAGCAGCCCACAGAAATTTCTCTCTCTCAACCCAGGGTTTAAATCTTAAGCCACTTTTTTCTCCCTTTTTAAGTCAGGAAACTTTTGGCTGTTCCTTGCTGATTCAGGAGATTGAGAAGCGCTTGCCTAAGGTTTACACAACAGTTCTGTCTGGTCTCAGCATTATGTTCCCTCCTTCAGCCCTTACACTATACTGGTTTTCCATTCTTCCACTTTGTTTCCCTTTTTTGCTGTTTGAATGAGGGAACAAGAAAAGGGAAATGTGACCTAGGCTGCCTTCTGCCATCCACATGTGCATCCAATCACTTAGTAGGTGGGTTCTCACTTTTGCCATGACTTATTTAACTACAGTTTGTTGAATAAACCCTATGTGGAAAGCCAGCATATAAGACATTTAAGGCATTTATTTACTCCAATCCTTTAAATAAGTATTAAATAAGAATAAGTTCTGTATAACAGAACTGTTTGGAAGGGTTGGTAAAGCATATATATTCCTGAAAATATACTAGGGAAAGAGCTGAGAAGGACATCCACATAGACGAAACTGGCAGACATGTCAGTTGCAACCATAATTCCCCCCCCCCCCTCCAAAGAGGAAAATCTTCAGAAAAGGTTAATAGCAATAGCAATAGCACTTTGCTATTAGCCTTTAGACCTATATACTGTTTCACAGTGCTTTACAGCCCTCTCTAAGCAGTTTACAGAGTGAGCATATTCTCCCCAACAATCTGGGTCCTCATTTTACCGACCTCAGAAGGCTGGAAGGCTGAATCAACCTTAAGCCTGGTGAGATTTGATCTGCCAAACTGCTGGCAGCTGGTGATCAGAAGTAGCCTGCAGTACTGTACTCTAACCACTGCGCCACCGTGGTCAATATGCAAAGTGCAAAGTGCAATAATGCAAAGTGCAAAGTGTGTTATGGTTTGTTTTAGCACATCCCAGCCTCCTCCATGGGACAAATCCACCAGTTCATCTCTCAGCTGCTCTTACCCAAGAGGCTGATGTAGGCACTGCTGACTTGGCCCCAACGTGAAGGATGCTCAGGAGAGGAGATTAGGAGGGGCTCAGCTGTGCCCGGCCAGTATAGGTTGGTTCTGCCACTGGGAAAGGGGATGCCATTGTCTGAAGTATAGATCACAAGAGTGCTGTTGTGGAAGCCTGCATGGCGGAGCTCCTCTAGGACAAGACCAAGGCCTACAGAAATAGTATACAATAAATATGTATATAGAGAGAGAGCCCTTACCCAGAACTAGCCTTGACCCACATGAAGGCTCAAAGGAACACTCCTTTCTACCCTCCTCCTTGTTGAGACATAGCATGTGCATTGCACAAATCTCAGGAAGTAGTACAGGTTCTTTCTCCAGGCACTACACAGCAGGCATTAAAAGATTATTAAGTGTTAATCGATCATCTCGCTCCCATTAAGTTCCACTCAGTTAACATAATTATGCATATTTTGCTAAGGATGGATGGATTATTGTTGCTTTGCTTCCTTATCATTAAAACATATTGCCATAAGACCAGTTCAGTATAGTGATTGAAGGTGAGGGCCTAGAAACTGGGAGACTATTGAGTCTTAGGCCTCTCTCTGGCATGAAAGCTGGCCGGGTGACTTTTGGCTGGTCGTTCTCTCTCAGTCCAACTTACCTCATGGGCTTGTTGTTGTGGAGAACATAGGAAATGGTATCTTGTATAAAAGATACCTTGTATAAAAGATGCAAATAAAAGCTACTAGATAGTAGTAGCAAGGCTACTATGTGTAAGAGATAGAAAGAGTACTTAGAAACACCTCTTAAGAGCCCACACAATGAAATGCATAGGGTTCTAAAAACTAGAGATGTATTATTTTCTTTTTTAATAAACAGAAGATGATTACCGTCTGCTCTCTCAGAACTACAGTAATATTTATGCCTTTATGGTCATAAAGCAAAATCAGACTGACTCTCAAGTATACAAAAATGCACCATCATTAATTAATCATTAATTAAAGGTCGTGTTCCTTTTCAGAAGTACCAAGCCTTTTGTCCCACTCCTGTTGGCAGAACTACCTGGTTCAGTAATCATCTACCTTGATCCATGCGCCCGACAGTTGTATATTGAGCTGCCAAATCCTCACGAGCAGCTGGGGTGTCTTGTACAAAATAAGGGACCTGAAGGCCAAAAGGAGATACAGCTGAAGCTAGCAGCTACCCTAGGAAAGACCTCTAGGTAACAAAGTTGAATTATTATGACAAGCACTGGAGGAGCTATTGCCACTTGCAGGTACTGCTGGAACCCAGGTGGAGAAGAAAATCCTAGACCTCACCTGCACTTGATCTGGATGGTAGAGCTCAGGTTTCCAATCTGGGATCCAGCCCATTCCAGGCTCCCCATTGCCAAATTTCTCACAGAAGGCTCCATACTGCGGCTGGGAATGACCACAGCGATGGGGATCATGGAAAGCCACATAAAGGAAAAAAGGCCTATAGGTTGGGGGAAAAAAGGGCAAAAACACTGTTAAGGGCTCTTGATAATGCCACAGCAGTGCTTCTTCTCCACTATTTAAAGCAATACTTTGGGTGCCTCTAGCTTTGCTACGTTCCATTTTCACCTTCTCCATAAACCCCCGAGTTTGGCTTCTTTTTCATTTTGATCCTCTATCTCGGTACACAGAACCATTTTATCTCCCCAAACAATCTCTTGG